CACTGCCATCCCCTGATGCTGTCCCTAGCTAATTCGTCTTGGTCCCTTTAAGAGCTGCCTGGGAACTGGGGCACCAGAGGGGGCTGGCAGGGCCCCCACCCCCTCCCCCTGCCATGCCCGCCTCTGCTCCGCCCCTGCCCCATACAGACTCTGCTGGAAGTCTTGGACGCCGGGGTTAGGGTCTCCACTGCTGGGCTGGGGGTAAGGCTGGAAAGTGGTGGGAAAGGGGGACCGTGGTCCCCGGGGGAGGGGATGGGAGGGTAGGATGCCAGTTTCCTAGGACTCTGGGCACAGAGTATCTGTGCCAACTTCAGTGGATAACATAGGAGGTCCTTCCGGGGGGTCCTCCAGCCTCAGGCTGGGGGTAGGGCAGCTCCGGGGGTTTTGAGGGGCAAAGCCTGGGGGGAAGGATCCCTGTGTCTTCTCACCCTCCTCTCCCCCATCTCATTTTCCTGGGACCCTCCTGGGATAAACTCCATCAGCCACTTGTCCCTCCTGCAATTAAAGATGTGGGACCCTGGCACCCCCATCTTCCCACAGGTGGGGAAAGCCCCAGTACAGTTCCAACCACAGCCCGAGACTACGTCCCCGCTGCATCACCGGGACAGCCTAGCTCCTTCCTGGAATTCTGATTCAAGGCCAGGAGGGGCTCCCCGAAGCCCACCTGCGTGGGGTGAAGTAAGGCAGGGGAGGCTGGCAGCCTCCCTCCACTCTGTTTCCTTGGAGTAGTTCAGAAATGTGGCCCTTACGATTCTGTTCCAGGAATGGCACCCAGTTCCCCTAGAGGGGAAGGAGGTGGGGGAAAGACCCAGGGACACTCCCAGGCGGGAAGTCCTTCTGCAGTCCGACCTCTTCCTTCCTCTTGCGCCGCTAGCTCAGCTGCCTCCGACCCCGCCACCTTGATTTCCAGTCACGCCTTCCCCTGCTCCCATGCGCCCATCCAGGGGTAGAAGAGCCTGGACAAGTGGGCACTCTCTGAGGCCCCAAGGCCAAGGGGCCGCCAGCAGCGGGAAAGGGACCATGGGGGGCAGTGATGGAGCTTGGCTCAGAGTCCACTTCTGCTTTCACTACAAGCCCGGCCCAAGCGGCCCCTCCCCAGACGGCAACGCTCACTCACCACCCGAACCCAGACCCGAGTGGGAGCCAGACTTGGCCTCTGAAAGCCCGGCCTGGGGCCGGCACCAGCACACTCACTTCCTTCTTCTTAGAAACACTATTCAGTCTAGAAATGAGCCAAACTGCTCCCAGGTAGGCTGGAAAGCCATCATCTCACCTATGTGAATCAGAGAGAGCAAGAACGCTGCCCGGGGTCGCATACCAGTCTGAGGCAGCCCGGCCTGGGACCCAGGGCTCCGGCTCCCTGGCCCCCTGGTGCCTGCTTTATGGTCCTCCCCTAGGCCCAGAGAGGCCAGCCCGGAAGGAGCGTTGTCAACTGCTCCTGTTACCAGTGAGGAAGCTGAGGTCCAGGGGGGACAGGAGAGCAGGGCGGGGTACAGGGGTACTCAGTTCTGGGGCCGGGAGTGGACACAGGCCCAGGTTCAAAGCTTCCAGCCAGAACCCTGCTCGCCCCTTCAGAGGTGGGAAAGACTCCAGCTCAGGCTTGTCTCTGTTTTATCCGCATCTGGTCTAGACTTTAGAAAGCCCCTTCTGCAAGAGTCTGCCCTCCTCCCTCTTATAGCATCGCCCTTCTCCCCCTGAGAGGTCTCAGGGGGCTAGCCAAAGAAGGCTGTGGCACCAACCTGAGCGTGGCGGTGGACCCCTTCCCGGGGGACTCGGGATACTAAGAACAGAAGAGGGCTTCTGAGACCCAGCCTCTCAGCTAATTTGCCCGGATATCTGTGTGTTCACTTGCCTCCTCCTTGGCAAACTCCGTTTGCATGGGGTCGGGCTGGCTGGCAGCTGGCTGGGACCCCCTCCTACATAGACGCAGTTCCCAGGGAAGAGCGAAACCCAGAGAAACTGACCACAGGAAAGAATTTGGCACCACATGACCCCTGAACCCAGCTGGGGGACATCTGTGAGGTGATGCCTGCTGGACAGGGGGAGAAGGAGCTGAGCAAGGCCCCCCCCAGGGGCTAGTGTTCCCCTCCTGCCTACCCCCCACAGCTGGATCCCCGCCTCCCCCACACATGTGGATCCGTGAGCCGCAGAAGGTGGGGCGCAGGGGGACACGGGTAGGAGGAGGAAGAATATGGGGAGATTCTAGTCCCTCCCACTTAGAGATGCGGTCGCCATGGTGACTGAGGACCAGTGAGGCGGGATGGGGTTGAGGATGGGGGGCGGGGGCGTGGCAGGGACGGAGGCACTGGGAGACAGGAACTGCCGGGCATTCCAGGGGGAGGGAAGCATGGTGCATCCCCGAGCTCCAGGTAAGGAAGCGGGAGAACTGAAGGGAGGGGGCGGGCCATTGTCTGATGCTGGCTCTGCCCTGAGGAGGGGGCAGACAGAGGGGTCGGGCCATTGTGTGCGCTACGCTGCTCAGCCTTCCAGCACAGTCAGATTGGAGGAGGAAGCCTAGGAGGCCCCGGGTAAAGGCTTAGGGGGGTCAGGCTGGGCGGGTGGCAGGAAGGCTGAGAGACAGTGTGGGCGGGAAGAGGCAGGGGAGGCTGGGGGAGTGGAAGCCGGGAGCATCCCTAGTGCCTGACACACAGTAGGCTGTTCTGCATAAGTTGACTTGACTTGGCTGTGATCATAAAAAGAGGGCAACAAGGGGCAGGGCAGGTGGGACGGAGGAAGGGGAGCCAGGAGGCTGGTGTTCCCCACGACTGGGCTCTTCTGGGGCTGCCCCTGAGGCTGGAAGGGAGAGGGGCTAGGGGGCGTTGGACCTGCTGGGTCATTGGCAAAGCCTTTCTCCCCACTCCTGGAGCCCCTCTCAGTGAGGTATCCATGTGCCCTGGGGCACTGAAGAGACAAAGTGCCCCAGAGTTCTCTGGTGAGCACAGGATGGGGAGGGGAGGAGGGTAGGGGTGCGGGGGGGTGAGCACAGGGTAGACGTATACGGGGGTGAGTATGGGGTAGAGGTGCAGGGGGTGAACAGAAGGTAGGGGTACGAGGGATGACCATGGGGTAAGGATGCAGGGGAGGTGAACATGGGGTAGGGGTCCAGGGAAGGTGAGTACAGGATAGGGGTCCAAGGGGATGAACACAGGGTAGGGGTGTGGTGGGGTGAGCGTGGGGTAGGGGTCGGGGGGTGAGCATGGAGTAGGGGTGCAGAGGTGAGCACGAGGTAGGGGTGCGGGGGGTGAGCACAGGGTAGGGGTGCGGGGGGTGAGCACAGTGTAGGGTGGAGAATGACACCTCCATCTCCCCTCCCACCTCTAATCCCCACAGCTAGATTCCACCCTGGGCCAGAAAGCTTGGCAGGAAGGGTCTGCTGTTTGATGGGACCGAGGGGCCGTGTGGGAGGAGTCCCCAGAGGAGGTGGACTCTGGGGTGGGGGACACGGCTGAACTCAGCATTGCTGCTACTGGGGGGGGCCCAGGCTGGGGAGAGAGGAGCCAGAGGACCCCCCGCTCATTGGGGCTATGCAACATCACAGCCCCTCAGGCCTTGTCCCTGAACACCTGACCCCTTCTTGCCACCCCCCACCTGCACAACCCTCCCAAGACTCCCCTGCTGGGCCCGGGGTTTCTTCACTGGGACAGGCAGGAGGGAGGTGGGGCCCTGCCGGTGGGGAGCTCGAGGCTGTGGGCAGGACTTGCTACGATGTCTGCCGGCCGGGTGCAGAGGGGGACATGAGGCGGTCCCCATCAGAAACCACCAGCTGCCTTCAGGAGGCCCCCGGAGAGCTGCAGACCTGGCGCGAGGGGCCCTTCCGAATGCGGGCTCCTGGGACTGCCCAGGTCACGTGCCCCTGACCCCGGCGGCGGCGGGCTCCCCAGTACAGCGGGCGGTGGTGCGGCCGTGGCGTCCGACTCCAGGCCTCCCAGGCAACAGGGGCAGTGGCGGGGCAGTGTGCAGTGCCCTTCCTCCTGGTCTGGGTCTTCCTGCAAGCTCGATGGCCCTCCTGGGTGTGGGGCTCCTGCCGGCCAGAGAGGTTTCTGTTCCCTCTTGCGTTGGGAATCCCCCGAGATACGCGCTCTCAGCCAGGAGAGCCTGAGCAGGCTGCCTGCACCCTCCCAGCTGTCTTCCCCGACCAAGTGGCTCTGAGCTAAGGGAGGACAGCGGGAGTAAGTGCTCCCCAGACACTGGGTGGCCTAGGGATTCAGATCTGAGTCTAACTTGGCTTCTCCCTGGGGAGCCTCCCTGAGCCTCACTCGCCTCACCTGGGAAATGGGACTACCATGGTAGCCGGCTGCAGTCCTCCGCAGACCAGAGCTCAATAGCACTATTCGTGTTGGCTGGAGGGGCTGGGAAAGGCCACCCCAGGCCAGAAGGAAAATTCCTGGGTCCCTGGGGAAGAAGGAGCTAAGCCCAGTGTGTTGAATCAAACACTTCCAGAGGCAGAAGCAGGGCGTCGGGCTGCGAGCGTGGGCTGGAGCTGCTTCCCTACCTCCCCCACCCACCTGCCCCCACCAGAACTCCTCCCTGTGACCCAGATAAGCCAAATCTGCGGAGCAGAGAGGCCCAGGGCCAGGGCAGGTCCCAATCTGGGCTGGGAGGTGGCGAGGCACAGAAGGTGGGGTCCAGGTGGGGGTTTTTCAGGGTTCTGGGAGTCTGAAAGACTTTCTCTAGTGGCTTGCTGCCCCTTCCCCCGCTTCGCAAGGACCTGGCCACCAACCTCGGTGACAGTTGTCTGGAGGGGCCTGGCTGAGACCAACCCCGAGGAGAATGTTAGAGAAATGGGAGCAGAGGGACAAGGAAAGAGGGCTGGGGTGCCCAAGAGGAAAATCTAGGGAGTGACCTGGGCTGCGTTGTGGCCAGAGGGCTGGCAGGACAGGAAGGACTCTCCGCCCGAGGAATGGGCGTCTGAGGAGTTGGGTCGCGGGTCGGAGTCAGGTCAGCCCAGGGCTGGCCGTGCTCTTAACCCAGCAGCCAGCCAGCCTCGGGCTGAGCAGGCCGGAAACTCCCCACTTCATAGGCTGTGAGCCCTCGGTGCGAGATGTGTCATTAACTCTGCGTTACGAGGCTCCCCCGGGGGCCTCCAGGGGCAGGTGAGCTATGGGGGGGTTGGGCGCCCCAGCAGTGTGTCCCAGAGATGTGACTGCAGACGGGACATGCTCTGGGCCACCCAGCCTGTGCTGCCCCAAAGGGGACGGAGACCAGGCTGCAGAGGGACTGGGTCGGCACAGCTGCGGGTAAGAGCCGGAGGCTCAGCTGGAAGTGGGGGTCTGGGGGTCAGCCAGCTGCAGGCCCGTCCAGGCCCCCAGCCAGGAGGAGACCTCATCTTGTGGGCGAGCCGAAAGAGGAACAACGAAGCCCGGGTCATGGCTCCCAGCTGGGAGGGCTCGAGCAAGAGAAGTCACTCCCGGTCTGGTCAGATGGGATGTGGCATTACAGAGGGCAGAGGGGTGGCTGACATGACCCAGAAACTTTCTGGCCTTTTCAGCTTTCTGGATGGACAGGGAGAGAGAGGAGGGGCGACAGAGGCGAGTCTCCTTTCTTTGCCTGCCCCACCCCCCCCTTCCGCCCAAGCCCAAGCCAAGGATCTGTCCGGACTCGAGAGGTGGAAATTCTGGTTTTCCAGAACTCCCAGGGCTGGCTCCGGCACTATGGGCACCTGGACGGCCGCGTTCCCGGCCCAGCCGGGCTAAGGCCTCTGTCCCCTGCCTCCAGGGCCTGGGGAGCCCCTCCACCCCAGAGTCCGGTCACCTGGGTTTCTGCGCTGTGGCTAGCTCAAGGGTATGCAGGAAGGGGCGGGTGGCTGGGGGTGGACCATTCTGGGGACACAGATGCAGCGACCCGGGGAGACAGACTCCAGGGAGAGGGTCGGCTGCGGACGCTTCGGCAGTGCCGGGAGCCTGCTGGGCTCCTCATCGCCTCCCTGCAAGGAGAGGGCCAGGTAGGTCTGCACATCAAACACCTGCAGACCCGCGCCTGGCTGGGCCGAGGGGAGAGTTCAGAGCAGGCCCGCCCGGGTCATCCGAGGCCAGGGGTGAAGGCACAGCCCCAGGGTACGCGCTGATCTCAAAGTGCGGGGAGATACCGGTCCGATTCACCTCTATTTTAAGTGTGGGAATCTGCTCTCCAGAACCTCCCCTTCCTGGGGCCAGGCAGGGCTTTGGGGTCTGGACTATGGGGAAGGGAAGGAAAGGAAGAGACAGCAAGAAGGACTTCCTGAGAGTAAGGAGAGCAAAGACAGAGCGGGGCCAGTGGTGGCCGGAGGTCAGGACGATGGCCCGACGGCAGGACTCGGACCCAAAGGGCAGCGCGAGGCAGCGGGCCGGCGCCTGTGGTGATGGAAGTGAGACTCTGCGGGCACCCTGCAAAGGAAGCTGTCCCCTCCCCGGCACCCCCACCCCCACTTCTGCTGCCTGGGGTTCTCCCATTGGTCCCCAGGGGGGGATGTGGTAAGGATGGCTCACGCTGAGAGTGCCCCGGCGCCTGTTTCCCCAGAGCCATCTGGTGACAGCTTCACGCTGAGCATGGCCCTCCCAGCCCCGGGCCGGGACCCCTGGAGCCTCCTGGGCCTTCTCCTCTCCCAGCTGTTCCTGGCTGTGCCGCTACCGCTGACCGCAGGGGGCGGAGGGCAGGAACCCTTGCCCAGGATCACGTACCGCGCAGGTAAGTGTCTGAGGGCCGGATGGGGCTGAACTGGAAGGGCAGAGGAGGACAGAGACCAAGGGAGACGGGGAGGCAAGGGACGGGGTGAGGGGGGGAGATTGTGGTCTCGCAGCGCCAGAGACTGAGGAAGGAGTGAAGAAACCGTGTGGCGAAAGACTGAGGGACAGAAGGGACCCGGGTGCCTCTCGGAGGAGGTGGTTTTTCCTTCTGTCCTCACCCGGCCTGGTCCGCAAGCTAGGCACGTCAGACCCTAACCGCTTTCACACATACCCCAAAACAAGGCCCATGCTAGAAGGTTATCCGTGGACCTGGTGGCCCAGGACATGGCAGGCACAAGACCACCACACAGACCAGGCTGGACCACGCCGTGTCCAGTGCCGTGGACCCCAGGAATAAGAGAATCAGGGCGGCCTGCTGGGGTCCAGGCCCTGGGACGCTATTGGCTGGTTTCTTTTTCTTTCTTTCTTTCTTTTTTTAAAGATTTTACTTATTTGACACACAGAGAGAGAGATCACAAGTAGGCAGAGAGGCAGGCAGAGAGGGAGGAGGAAGCAGGCTCCCCGCTGAGCAGAGAACCCGATGCGGGCCTCGATCCCAGGACCCTGGGATCATGACCTGAGCCGAAGGCAGAGGCTTTAACCCACTGAGCCCCCCAGGTGCTCCTGTCGGCTGGTTTCTTGCTGAGGCTGTGGGGGCCCATGTTCCTCCCACTTCCAGGGAGAAGGTCCGGGAAGGATGCCCTTCCTGGAACCAGCTCGCCTCCCCCGCCCAGGTGACATCCAACCATGCCAACAGGGGCCTCTGAAGACATATGGTCCCCTCTGCTCGACCTCTGGCTGTGATTCTAGTGGCTGAAGCTTCCTGCTAGAGGAGAGGAAGGGGGGTTGGCAAGTGTGACCCTACAACCCACAGCTACCCCGACACACCATCCCATGTGGCTCACAGTATCTTCTTGTCTGTCCCTCTGCCTTCTGCTCCCCCTGCTCCTCCCTGGGGAGGATCAGGGCATCCTTACCCTGCCCCCAGCGTCCCCCAGGCCTGGAAGAATGTCCATGTGCCTTGCTCGATTTCCTGTCCCTTTGTCTATCTCTTGGGTGCAGGCCACCTTCCCCCAGTCCCAGATTGTCATTAGCCTGTCTCTGGCAGCCTCTTCTCTCCCCTATGGGCTCAACAAGGGGAGCCGCTGATGGAGAGCAGGTCCAGCTTCCAAGGCCCGGGGAGCACACTCTGCCAACCCTTCTCCCCACCACCCCCCACCTTGACCTGAGGAATCATCTGCCTGCCCAGCCACCCCTCATCATTCACCCCTTCTCATCACTTCCCAACAGGGGAGGGACGCAGGGCTCTCAGCCTCTTCCACCAGAAGGGCCTCCAGGATTTCGACACCCTGCTCCTGAGCGATGACGGAGGCACTCTCTATGTGGGGGCTCGAGAGGCCATTCTGGCCTTGGATATCCAGGACCCAGGGATGCCCAAGCTGAAGAACATGGTGAGGAGGCCGGGGATGACAGGTGCTGGCCTGGTGCGTGGGGGTGCGGGCAGCTGCTGGGGGCCTGGACTGCCCACGCACGACTCACTGCGCAAGTGCTGTCCACTCTAACCCGTGGCGCTCAGCCACTCCCGACGCAGGTGTCTGGTCTGCAGAGCAGATAAGAAACGCCACGGTGGCCGCACTGCCTGCTAGCGCCACGCACCCTGGCCGAACAACATCAAGTGCTAAAATGGCTGATACGGAAGTCATTGACACTGAAGGAAGCACGGACCGGCGTTATAGCAATAGCACGATGCCCGCCCGCCGGCAGAAATCCCCAAAGCTTCCGTGTCAAGTCATAGTCACCCTCCTGCCGGGAACATGTGAGGAGGACAGGGGGAAGGAAGGAGGGACGGAGCTGAGGGTCTCTGAGCGTCTCCCTCGTCTCCCTCGCTGCGTCTCTCAGGGTGTGGTCTCTGGGCCACCTGTGCGTAAGGGATGCTGGTTGAAAATGCAGATTCTCTGAGGTGTGAGCCAGGAACTGACATTTTAAACAAGTTCCCCAGGAAACGTGTGGTTTGTCGACTGCCGCTCTGCCTAGCCTGCCGGGTATTGGGTACTTTCCATATGACCCTGGTTGTGCCCTCCGGAAGCCTGTGCAATGGACTAGGACCCCTCACCCAGGGAGTGGCTGAGCCTGGATTAAACTCGGGCCTCATTCCACAGGCTGGGTTCTCCAGTAGAGCCGCACCCTCCTGAACACCGGCATCCTTCGGGCCATAGCCAAGGTCAAGGGCTGGTGTTATTATAGCTCATCAGTGTGCACTGACCACCGTGCGTGCTGGTGGATTCAAAGCAGACCCAAGGAGAGGACAGCGGGTCAAAGCTAGAGCAGAAGACCTCACTGTCCTCTCCCTCCTGACCCCTACCGCTGCAGATCCCCTGGCCGGCCAGTGACCGGAAAAAGAGTGAGTGCGCCTTTAAGAAGAAGAGCAATGAGGTGAGTGGAGGTGCGGGTGTAGGGACACTGGATGGGGAACCCCCGAGGCCCAGACCCTCACTGGATGACATCTGGTTGGGCAGGCAGTGGAGGACCTTCTTTCCTAGGCGATCGCCTGCATCACGTTCTGTGAAGATGTCCAGGGACCCCCCCCCCAGCAATTCTGGGCCCTCTCCCCACCAGGAAGTGGGGGGGCAGCCCGTGGGGCCCAAGAGTGTGGGGCAAGTGGCCAGACACCCGGATTCTCTGTCTCCCCAGACACAGTGCTTCAACTTTATCCGTGTCCTGGTCTCTTTCAACGCCACCCATCTGTACACCTGCGGCACCTTTGCCTTCAGCCCTGCTTGTACCTTCATTGTGAGTTACGGGGCACCAGCGCCCAGACCTGAGCATCCCTTCTCACACCTACACCCCGCCCCTGCCCCTGCCCCCCCCTCCACCCTCTCTAGCTCTGGAAAACCCTGCTCTTCTGGATGCGGGACCCTTGTGAGCTTCTTGGCCCCAGTTCCCCTCCACATCCCTCTCCCTTCCTCACGCCCCTCATTTCCCAGACATGAGACTCTGGCGTTCTGGCCCCCAGCCTCTCCCCCCCTTTAGGAACTCCGAGATTCCTACCTGTTGCCCATCTCCGAGGACAAGGTTGTGGAGGGGAAAGGCCAGAGCCCCTTTGATCCTGCCCATAAGCACACGGCTGTCTTGACAGGTGAGTATCAGGTTCCCAGTAGGGGCTTTCCCAGGTCATTCTGTGAAATATGGAAGCTGACAGTTTCCTGAAAGGCAGGGGACAGAGGGAGGGGAAGCCAGGAGCCTCAGAGCACTAGATTGGAGGGGCACTCAGCACCCCAACCACCAGCTCCCCAACCACAAAGAAGGTGGGGGGAGAGGTAGAGAGAGGTTCGTTCACATAGGCGGGGGGCCCTGGTAAGGGTCTTGGGCAGAGAAGGGGCCTGAGGCTCAGCCACTTGTCCATAGATTATAGAGACATCACTGTCTGCGCCCTCCCATACACAAACCACAACAGACTCCCCACCCTGGCTTCCTGGAGGAGGTGGCCTTTGGTTTTTAGTAGGACCTCAGAAGTTGGGGTAGATGCACTGGGAAGATGTTCCAGGAGGAGAAGAGTGGGACCAAGGCGTGGAAGCGGAAAGCACCGCCAACTCTGGGGAGGAAAGAGGGATCCTTTCTGGTAGGGGGTTCAGCTGGGCATGCAAGGGAGCAGGCAGGGAAGGGCTGGACAAGGCCAGCGCGCAGAAGGACGAGGAGGGAGGCTCCATCCTGCCGCAGGAGGCCCTAACAAGGGTGCTCAGTGGGGTCTACCAGCTGGGCTGTGGGCGCCCCAGGAAGCTGCACCCTCTAACGAGGACGCCTCCCGCCCTCTCCCCTAGATGGGATGCTCTATTCTGGCACCATGAACAACTTCCTGGGCAGCGAGCCCATCCTGATCCGCACGCTGGGACCCCAGCCCGTCCTCAAGACCGACAATTTCCTCCGCTGGCTGCAGCGTAAGGACCCGAGCCCCCAGCCCAGGTCTGGCTCTGCCCTGAGCGCGGAGACCCAGCCCGAGAGCCGCGGTTCCTGCACTCCGCGGTCCTCTGTGCCAGGAGGCCTGTTCGGGGAGGGGGTGCAGTTCCCGCCCCCGTGGCAGGCGCCCCCAGCGCCACCTCCCGCCAGCCGTGGGGCGTCCCGTCGGGCGGCCACCCGCGGCACAACCGGCCCCCGGGGTCCCAGTCCTAAGCCTCCCCGCCCCGCCCGCAGCGGACGCCTCCTTCGTGGCCGCCATCCCTTCCACGCACTTCGTGTACTTCTTCTTCGAGGAGACGGCGAGCGAGTTCGAGTTCTTCGAGAAGCTCCACACGTCGCGGGTGGCCAGAGTCTGCAAGGTCTGGGGCCCGGGCGGTGGGCGGGGCCGGCCGTCGGGGGAGCCACTGGGGAGGTGGCAGAGGCGGGGCCGAGCTCCCAGGGCCCAATGGGAGCGGGACGGGGGCGGGGCGACGGGGGCGAGGCTTCCCTGACTCCGCCCCCGCGGCCCTAGAACGACGTGGGCGGGGACAAGCTGCTGCAGAAGAAGTGGACCACCTTCCTGAAGGCCCAGCTGCTGTGCTCCCAGCCAGGACAGCTGCCCTTCAACGTCATCCGCCACGCTGTCCTGCTGCCCGCCGCCGCCTCCGCCGAGCCCCGCGTCTACGCGACCTTCAGCTCTCAGTGGTGAGCAGAGCAGTGGGGACGCGGGGGCGGCACGCGTGTCGTGGGGCCTAGAGCGCCCACTGCATGCACTTCATCTAGGAAGGCATGGACCCGGCACTACGTCCCAGGAATCTGACTCATGACCTTCGTGGAGGTGGGAAAATTAGGCTCAGAGAGGTTCTTTCTGCCCGCTTCCAAGAAGGATAGGAGGCTTACGGAAGGGGAACGTTGAGACCGGATAAGGTCAAACCGATGAAATGGGAGTAAAAAAGGAGGACGAGAAGGCAGGGATAGGGTGAGCACATCACAAATGGCTGGCGCTGGCGCAGTGCTGGGGAGCTGGTTACAAATTTAGCTCTGAGCTTCCTAATGGCCAGAGCAAAGAGGGAAATACCATTTCTAGGATAAGAGTAGTCATTGCTTGGAGGCTGGGCATTGATTTGCTGTGATCTGGCCCCACAGTATTTAGGTGTCTGCTGACCACATGTCAGGTACCAAAGATATCTGCTGTCAGCAGGGGCTGGTATCAGTGGCATCCGGAACTGAGAATATGGGGTGTGCCACAGTCTGGCTAAAGGGAACAAGAGAAACCTGTCTTCACAGACCAGGGCTGAAGGAATAAAAATAGTCTCATAGTCAGGCTTTGGTTGGTTGTCCGAGGACCAGGAATCCAGGAGGCCCAAAGGATCACAGCTTCATCATCAGGGGCTGGTTCCATGGCCCCTCCGATGGGTACAGCCCAGCCTGGGCAAGACGGGAAGGAGCCGCCCCAAGACCTGCGCCCAGTTAATTATCCTTAAGGATAATCCTAAAATGAGCCAGAGTGAGGGGCTCTCCTGGCCCTTATCACAGGGGCGGAGGGGGCAGTAAACTGGGCCCTCCACACTCCTGCCCTCCAGGGCTTTTTCACAGGGGTGGTCCAGGCCTGGAGCTGGTAGAGCAGAGGAGATGACCGTGTCTGCTCTGGTTGTCCCCAGGCAGATCGGTGGGACCAGGAGCTCTGCTGTCTGTGCCTTCTCTCTCAAGGACATCAAGCGTGTCTTTGAGGGGAAGTACAAGGAGTTGAACAAAGAGACGTCACGCTGGACGACTTACGGGGTCCCCGAGATCAGTCCCCGGCCAGGCAGCGTGAGTACCACCCCCCACACCCAGCAGTCCTCCGCCCCACTGATACACACACGTCCTGCATATGGAAGCATGATCAGTGTCCGATAAATGTTACCCAGTCCTGTCTGCTCAGGTACACACCTGCTCCCGTGGCCCGCATTCCACAGGTGTCCATGCATCCTACACACAGAGAAGTCCCCCTGCTGCTAAGTGCACCCCAAGTACCCGGGGTATCATGGAGGAGACAAGGGAGCCCCGGCTATGCCAAGAACTGCCTGGGCATCTGATTCTGCCTTTCTTATTTAACTTCCGCGTTTTGATCAGAGTTGTATACGGACAGCATTTACAGAATCTTACAGATCTACGTGGTCAGTTACCAAAAACAGCCCTATGCAGCGTCCTACACTTTTCCCTCTGTAGAGGGACAACCTCTTTTAGCTGAGCTGATACCTTTTGTATTTATCTCCAGATCTCTAACATACTGTTATTGCTCCTTCTTGATGTTTGAGTTTCAGTAGGATCTATCGAATCCCATTCTGGGCGGTGACGATTTCCCTAAGCCCCTCACCCCTACCCAGGCATGTAGGCACTGGCCTGCAGCAGCCAGCAAGAACCGTTTGGGGACATCTCTTTCCAAGCTCATGTGCGCTGACATGATGCCGGTGGCCTGAGACCCGCGGGAATTAGGGCTGCCTGCCCCCCCCCCCCCGAGCTGTTTTACCAGCACACCACTGCACCCAGCCCTCATCTCTCAACAGAGTTTTATAGTAATTTTGGTTAGATCAGTATTTAGATCAGGACTCATGCACAGATGAGCCAGGAAGCAGGCCCTGATTACGTTTCCTTTTTGCATAATTTAAAAATTTCCCGAGGGTGTGTAACTATCTCTCTTCTTTTTCTTTCTTTTTTCTTCTTTTACTTTCTTAATTTGCTTTTTCTTTTTCTCTTTTCACTGCTTTGTTTTCTAAGCTCTTATCATTAATTCTACCCCAAACCCTTCCTCAATAATCTGCGTCTCTTCTGAAGACAGATGCATTAGGCATTCTAACAGGTTTGCCTTCCTGGAGGTGGTTCCCTTGAGCTGCATCCCAGACCAGCCCCCTGCACTGCCGCCATCCTAGAATTTCCCTTCTCGTCCTTCTGGGCATTTCCTTTGTATCTCTCCATGAAGTTCTCGTGGTTCTGACACACATGGCTTCCTCTATTTTTTTTAAAATGCTTTTCTTTTGTTTTTAAAGATTTTATTTATTTATTTATTTGATGGAGTGAGTGAGAGAGAGAGAACACACATGAATAGGGGCCCACACCTTGTTGAGCAGGGAGTCCGACTGGGGACTTGATCCTAGGACCCTGGGATCCTGATCTGAGCCGAAGGCAGATGCTTAACCATTTGAGTCCCCCACGTGCCCCAAAATACAGTTTATTTGAATCAAAATCTAAGTAAGATATGTAACTTTGGATTAGCTGGTTTTTTTTCTTTCTTTCTTTCTTTTTTAAGATTTTATTTACCTACTTGACAGACAGAGATTGCAAGTAGGCAGAGAGGCAGACAGAGAGAGGCAGGGAAGCAGGCTCCCTGCTGAGCAGAGAGCCTGATGAGGGACTCGATCCCAGGACCCTGAGACCATGACCTGAGCTGAAGGCAGAGGCTTAACCCACTGAGCCACCCAGGCGCCCCTCTTTTTTTTTTTTTTTAAAGTTTACTTATTGAAGTAATCTCTACACCCAGCGTGAGGCTAGAACTCGCCCCGTGGGATGGAGAGCAGCACATGCTCCCGACGGAGCCCGCTGGGCACCCTTGGATTTGTTGTTCTTTTAAGGCTCTTTTAATCTGTACGTTCCACCGTCTTCTTTTCTCTTGCCATTTGCTTGTCCTGTGGAATTTTTCTCAGTCTGGATCTCGGGGCCTCCGGGTCTCTGTGGTGGAGTTGCCGTCGTTCCTGCGCCTCGTTGGAGGCTGGACCTAGAGACTCTATCCAATCAGAGCCCCACAGGGGCGTAAGACCGCTTCGGTAGTTCTTTGCTGGGAGAGGGTCTGTTTCCTCTGGGTCATTTAGCTTTTCGTTTGTTTTTTTTTCCATCAGTTCTTTTTGGTCTCTTTTGTGTTCATGGTTTAACTCACGGGTCTGATGGCCCTGGCCTCTCTGTTCTCGTGAGAAGGGCCCGTGAAGTTCTCCGGAAGCTTCTTCCGTGGACGTGACCGCCAGCGGGGGTTCCCCGATGCCCCTCGGAAGGTGGCCTGGCCGGGCGGTATTCTCAGGGGTCCTCCACGTCAGTATCATCAGGTCTTACCTCTGACCTGCAGCCAGTTTTCTGGGGCCCTCTTCCAGCCTTGTGCTTGGAGGGAGACGGCCTGGCTGCTGGCCCTGGGGGGCTGGAGGGCTGGGGGACCACGTCCCCACATGCACTGGTCTCCCCCTGGTCTCTCCCCCTACTTTCAACGTGTGCCTGCTGGCCGTGCCCAGAGACCCTCGGCTTTCTGGTCTCCAGAGAAGGAGCCTCTAGTCCTGGGCCCGGGGCCTGCAGGGCCAGCCCCCCCAGCCCTGCGTGTGGGACCCCAGCCTGCCCTCCTGACGCAGCCCCCCGACCCCTACTTCCAGAGGTGGCTACCGCCACTCGTGACCTTTAGAGAGTCTGCCTTGTAAGTCAGACCCTTTTGGCTACCCCGGGGCTGGCTTAAGAAAATTCTTTCCTTTTTTTCCTGCTCAGTCTTTTACCATCTTTGTTTGTTTGACTTCCAGCTTTCACCCTGCGTCTGCCTTTGCTCTCCCCCTGCCCCGTCCCCCCCTTTCGGGGTAGGGGGAGGAAGTGAGAGTAGGTGCACGTGCTCCTTCTGGCATCAGAATGAAACACAGATGTTCTTACCTCACGTCGCAGATTGAGGAAATGGAAGCGTGTGGAGGGGGAGTGACATCTGCACAGTGGCAGCTGACGGAGGGGGCACCGTGAGCCGGTGACACGCTGTGCTGTGTGCAGGGCCTGGAATTCAGCAGCCCCAGGGTCCTGAGATGGGGACTGCCTTGAGAGAGGGACCGGTGGGGGTGCCGGAAGGCGACAGTGAGCTTGCGGGGCAGAGAGCACTGACCTGAGGCTCCTCCTTCCCCTTGTAGTGCTCCGTGGGCCCCTCCTCCGACAAAGCCTTGACCTTCATGAAGGACCATTTCCTGATGGATGAGCAGGTGGTGGGGACTCCCCTGCTGGTGAAGTCTGGTGTGGAGTACACGAGGCTTGCGGTGGAGACAGCCCAGGGCGCCGACGGGCACAGCCATCTGGTCCTGTACCTGGGCACCGGTGAGTAAAGGCTCCCGATGTCCCGCGGCGACCAAGCGGGGACTGTGACTCAGGCTGTCGAGGGAAACCGCGGACTCCGTTCACTCCCGCTCTCGTTCCGCAAACGCTTGCTGAGCACCTGCTATGTGTCTGGCGCCCTGTGGGGTTCTAGGATACGGTGGGATCGCCCGACAGCCCAGTGTCCACCCTGTCTGAGCTTTGAGTCTGGAGGGGGTGACGGACACAGAGCACAGAGGGCTTTGATGGCCTGACCAGGAGCTATTTGTCTCCCAAAGCCCCATTAGAGCCGTGAAGAAGTGAGCCGGTGGCGGGTGGTGGGTGGCGGGTGGCTGGGAGCAGCCAGCGGGGGGACAGTCCTTCAGAAAGCTGGCCATGAAGGGAAGCGGGGAGGGGAGACTGGAGGAAGGAAGGGGCTCCTGCCATCAGGCTTCTTTTTTCTTTATCTTTTTTTTTTTAAGATTTTATTTATTCACTTGATAGACAGAGATCACAAGTAGGCAGAGAGGCAGGCAGGGAGAGAGAGGGGGAAGCAGGCTCCTGCTGAGCAAAAAGCCTAATGTGGGGCTCGATCCCAGGACCCTGAGATCACGACCCGAGCCGAAGGCAGAGGCTTTAACCCACTGAGCCACCCAGGTGCCCCCAGGTTTCTTTTTTTTAGGATGGAAAGGTCCTCAGGCTCCAGGAGAGAGGCAGCCGGTGAGGAAGTGAGCGGGCGGGTAAGGGGTGACTGGCAGGTGACGCTGCAGAGCGAGGAGGAAGCTGGAGTCCAGGACGCAGGTGGGGGGCAGCCCCCATGCTGGGATGGGGTGAGGAAGTAGAAGAAGGTAGGGCTGGGGGTGGGTGTCTGGCCGGGAGCAGAGGTTGCTGTCACAGGCAGGTTTTGGTGTTCTGTACAGGAGGAGGACATGGGGTCTGGGGCTGGGGACGAGGGGTGGAAAAGCAGGGAGGTGTGAGGAGAAAGGGCTACATTCAAAAGTCAGTGTGGAAGGAAAGAGAGAGAGTCAGCGGGGGAACGTGCAAGATTGCCAGGCGTGTGTGTTGAGGGCCTGGTGGGGGTAGATGACCTTGAGCTTCCGTGGAAGAAAGCTACCGGTGCGCTGATCCCAGCCACCGTCTCCGCTGCACGCCTGTTGGGTTCTAGCAGAGATCAGGACAGACGAAAGCTCGGTGCCTGTGGGACGCATGGAGACAGACAACGCGTGTAGCACATGAGCCACGGACCTAGTGTGTTTTGAGATTAGAAATTGATTTGGAGGGACGGTGGACCCCCAGCCACAGCCGGGGGTGGGGTGCGATTTCTAACGACGCGGTCAGTGCGACCTCACTGAGGCCTGTGGAGGAGGGACACACCGCTGAGGGTGGCGGCTGCCGGGGTTTCTGCAGAAGCACATGGCTGTCCTTGGCCCCAAGTCCTTGGGGGTGTGGGTTGGGTTCTTGCAAAGGAAAGACAGAGGGGCAAGGGTTGATAACAGAGTTGATAACAGAGTTCCCGTCAGCCCCATGGCATGGAAGGGAGCAGCCTGATGGGCTGTGCTGGGTTCTCTTTGGAGGAGTCTGGAGTCAGAGGCCACGCACGAGGGCCCGTGGAAGAGGTGACAGTCTCCACCGTCTGTCTCTCCACAGCCACAGGGGCCCTCCACAAGGCTGTGGTGAGTGGGGACAGCGGTGCTCATCTGGTGGAGGAGATCCAGCTGTTCCTCGATCCGGAACCTGTCCGCAACCTGCTGCTGGCCCCTGAGCAGGTGGCAAGGGCCCTTCTGACGAGGCGGGGCTGGGGGGCTGGGTCCCTACTGGGGTTGCAGAGGTCACTGTCCCTCTCTTTTCCAGGGCGCAGTGTTTGCAGGCTTCTCAGGGGGCATCTGGAGGATTCCCCGAGCCAACTGCAGCATCTATGAGAGCTGCGTGGACTGTGTCCTGGCCCGGGACCCCCACTGTGCCTGGGACCCCGAGTCCAGAACCTGCCGCCTGGTGCCCAGCCCCATCCCGTGAGTGCCGGTCCTGGACGTCAGTGGAGGCTGGGCCACTGGGACCTTCTTACCCAGCGTGTGGGGCACGGTCCCACCCAGGGTCTCCCTCCTGGGGCCAAGGCTCCTCCTGGGGTGGGTTGAAGCGAGGGGTCTTGGAGCTGCCCCATCCGCCTGGGTTTACCTGCGTCTTCTCTGTCCTGACCCCCCACCTCCCTCTCGTCCTCCATCCTCTTCCCACTTTGGTCTGTTTCAAGGCCTGAGGTTTGCTCTCTGCCTCCACAGGAGGTCCTGGAGACAGGACACGGAGCAAGGGAATCCAGGGTGGGCATGCGCCACTGGGCCCGTGGGCAGGAGCCACCAGCCCCAGAGCCGTCCCCAAATCAGTGAGTGTGGAACCGGGGGAGGGTGGGGGGAGGCTCAGGCGGCTGCCCCCCAGCACCTGCCGGCTTGCGAGCCCAACACCCGACCGGGCGAGGATCTCAGGCCTGGCTTCGGGAGGGAGGATGGGAATTCCAAGTGGGGATTCCGGATTGGGGCTGAAGTCTATTTTGGTGTCAGAGTTGGAGTCAGATGAACCACGGTTAGTCTGGGGTCCAGACTGGAGATAGACGAGGGCTCAGCTTTGAGTGTGGGGGCTGAACTGGAAGGTGTAGAGGGGAGTCAGGGTCCAGATGTCCGTAGAGCTTTCCTGCCCTCCTGCTCCCCTGCCCTTAGCCATATCCCCTTCCTTCATCTCCAGTTAAAGAAGTCCAGGCTGCGCCCAACTCCATCCTGGAGCTCCCCTGCCCCCACCTCTCGGCCTTGGCCTCTTACCGCTGGACTCGCGGTGCGGCCAAGATCCCAGAAGCCTCTTCTGCAGTCTACAACGGCTCCCTGGTACTGCTGCTGCAGGGCGGGGTAGGAGGCCTGTACCAGTGCTGGGCCACAGAGAACGGCTTCTCTCACCCCGTGGTCTCCTACTGGGTGCACAGCCAGGACCAGCCCCTGGCCCTGGACCCTGAGCTGGCAGGCATCCCCCGGGAGCGTGTGGATGCCCCACTGACCAGGGTTGGGGTTGGGGCCGCTCCGGCTGCCCAGCGGTCCTACTGGCCCCACTTCCTCACAGTCACTGTGCTCCTGGCCTTAGTGCTTTCAGGGGCCCTCCTCCTCCTCCTTGCCTCCCCGCTGGGGGCTCTCCGAGCCCGGGGCAAGGTGCAGGGCTGTGGGACCCTGCCCCCAGGGGAGAAGGCCCCCCTGAGCCGGGAGCAGCACCTCCAGCCTCCCAAGGAATGCAGGACCTCGGCCAGCGATGTGGACGCTGACAACAACCACCTGGGCACGGAGGTGGCTTAGGCTCTGGGCAGGGCTGTAGCCATGTAGGGTAGGGTAGGGTGGGGTGCCCAGCTGGGCTGCCTGGGGGACCTGGGGCAGTGTAGCCCCAGGACAGGCAGGAGCACAAAACACCGCCTTCCTGTTGTGCCGCTGGTGGTCCTCAGCAGGCCGGACACAGCGGCCTGAACCCCTGTGGGCTGTCCCTCCACCGCGCACTGGGCTCTCCACCGGGCCATCCCAGACCCGGACCAGCAAGACCTGGAGCCCATCCTTCATCTCCGGCCGTTCCAAGACCTTCCAGAAACATGCTGCTCCAGGAGCCCCTGCGACCCGGGACTGTTAAGGCCCCCGTGGTAACAAACACCGAGGTACAAACGACTTAGCAGGCCGCTGCCCGGAGACCCCACGGGGGGCCGCTGCCGCCGCCGCCACGGACACCAAGGCTCCGCTGTTCCGGGTCCCTGCCCGGAGCTGCCCCTCCTGCTCCCTTACCAGCCACATTGCTGACTCCTGGGAAGTCCTTCTGGAGCTCTGACCACCTTCCTTCTTGTTTCAGCCGGGGCGGATTGTGGCCCCTGCCGTGGCTGGAAGGACGGGGTAATCTGAGCCTTGTTCCCTCCTCCACTCTGGCTGACCTCTTGAGCCCTCTCCTCTCCCCTTTCCTTTATTTTGGGATCCAGACTACCACTTATCACAGACAGTTTATTTTTTATTAAAAAGACAAAGCTCACGACTCGTGCTGTTTTCTGGGAGCAGAAGGCGGCCGCAGAGGACGGTGGGATGGAGGGGGCGGCAGCGGAGGGCCTCAGCGGGGAGCAGCGCCAGGTCCGTGGGGCCAGGGCTGTCCAAAGGCAAACCACCTCTTCTGCCACGCCGGCTGCCCACCCAGAACCAACCCCGCAGCCCTTTCCTCATCCATCGCCCACACGCGCCTGTTCCCTGTCTGGGCAGCTGCTGTCCCCGCTGTCCCCAATCCCGTTCCCCATGTTCGCTGTCGGTGTCCACTCTTGGCGGACTGAATTTATGGAGAGACCCTACGGCCACCCCCAACTGGGGCATCCCCTTCCCTAGTCCCACAACAGCCCTGTGTAGGGCTCCCCTGGGGCTCCTCTCACCAAGACCCTGGCACTGACCGCACTCCACCGCTCCTCCCCTCCCCTCTCCCCTACCCCTCCCCACATCTGCGCTGGGTGTTCCCTCCAGGGTCCAAACTAAGAAGGGCTCTGCCCCCCCCCAACCCCGCCTGCCAACGCCCACGGGCTCTCTTTCCTGTTCTCACCCAAACCCAGACAGGGCCCCTTCTGGCTGCCCACCCACGGCTCCCCCGGGGACAACCTTGCCCTCTCAGGTGCCCTGTGCTCTGGCTTTCTGTCCCACCTGTCTGCACCGATGACTCTGAAGCTACTCATAAGCCCCAAGGGGCCTTGACCGCTCTGCCACCTTCACACTTGGCCACTGCACTCCCATGACTCTCTTTCTCTGGGGCTTCTCCTTTTTCCTTAACATTTTATTTGTAACGCGGCTCAAAGCAAACAACACGCGGTTTACCCCCTTCACGGACCGCCGCGGGGTGTTGCCTGCGCTCCTGTTGCTGTGTGATGCCGCCAGAGCCTGCCTTCCTGCAGCCCTGGATCTCTGCCCCTCGAACAGCATCTCCCCCTTGCGGGGCCCCTGCGGGCCCTGCAACACCAGTCCCCTCTCTGTGAATTTGGCCACGGGAGGTGTGTCCTGTGAGGGGAGTCGCACAGTGTTTGGCCTTCTGCGACGGGCTTCTTTCACTCCCCGTGATGTCCCCATGGCTCACGCATGTCGGAGGACCTCCTTCCTCGCTGGGGAGGAGCACTGTTCCCCTGGGCACCCGTCCCGCCACTTCTCCCCTGTTCTTGCGCCGGAGGACCCTCCGTTGTCGCGTTTCTCGGCTACGGCGGACACTGCTGCAGTGAGCACGGGTGGGCAAGTCTCTCCTCCAGACCCCGTTTTCTGTGCCTTCTTTTCTGGAGGGGGTCTTCTTCTTTAGGAATGTCTTCTCCCCCCCGCCGCGCAATGGCTCCGTCTTCCTCGGTCACCGAACGCACTGTTAGCCCAAGCCCGGCTTCTGCTGTTCAAGCACCTGCCAGACGAGCCTTGTGGCTCCAGCCACCCCCTCCCACCCCGGGGCCTCTCGACCAAGAGCAGTGGGGCTGCGGAGGGCGCTAGGCCACAGCGGGGCTGCTGGGAACTTGCACTCGGCCTACGTCCCTGTCCGTGCCGCAATCCCTCACCTCTCAGAAGGAAGGAAGGTACCAGAAGCCCCTCCTGCTTCAAGCATTATGGAACCCTCGCTGCCAAGCAGGCATCTGTCTCCTCAGCGAGCTTTCTCCCGGCTCCAGCCAGCCCGAGGACAAGCCCGCCAGACATCTTCCTCCAGGCCGCCCAGAGGCGTCCGGAAGTGTGTCCTTTCTCTGCCTTTCGCTGCTTCCCCTCAACATTACTCTGGAAACGTCTCTTTCCTCATCCCCCTCTGAGGTACAATTTAGATGCCTCCACTCGATCTTCCCAGCTGGCCCCAGTCCTGGCGGTCAATCCTCCCGGGATTTCCCTGGTGCTCACTGTCTGCCTCACTCAGGAGGTGCCCAGAGCCGACCCTAAGAATGTGATACTGAGAGTGGGCCCAGGGCAGGGGTGGGGGAGGGGGGCCATGCGTCTCAGGCCACCCCCACAGCCGGCAGGTGAGGTGTGCATGAGGCTCTACGCGCTGGCGACAGGAGGCTTCCGGAGACTCACCATTTGTGACAGCACAGCCTCTGTCTGGCTCGCCCTGAGTGACCTCTGTGCGGCCTTTGACCTTGGTGACCTTTCCGTCCAGCGACACCTGTGCTCCGGTCTCCGGCTGCGCACTCGCTCACCTGCCTGCCTGTCCCCGCGTCCGAGGTTCTCTCGGGCATCATTCCCTGCTCTCCCGCTGAAAGCTCCCTTGGAGGGACGCCGGGGCGGCTCAGTCATTGAGCTTCAGCTCAGGTCATGATCCCAAGGTCCCGGGATCAAGCCCCGCATCGGCTCCCTGCTTGGCAGGAGGCCTGCTTCTCCCTCTCCCACTCCCCTTCCTGTGTTCTCTCTCTCGCTGTCTCTCTCTGTCAAATAAATAAATAAAATCTTAAAAAAAAAAAATCCCTTGGACAGTGTGTCCATACCTACTGCTCTCTCTCCCACCTCTTAACGAAGGACGCCCACCCATCCCTCCACCCGTCTGTCCCTCCACCCGTCCATCCTCCCAGCCGTCCGTCCCTCCACCCGTCCATCCCCCGACCCATCCGTTCAGCAAACACGCACTCCGCCCCGGCTGTGGTCCAGAACGTGGCGTGGCCAGGCCTGCTTCCTGTCTGCGCGGGGTTTACGATGCAGCAGCAGGGACAGCTGGCTACGAGCTGAGGAAGAGGTATTGAGGGGGACAGTGCTTTACCTGCCCTTCCAGCTACTGCTTCCCTCCACCTGGACACACCACAGACATCCCTAACTCAACATGTCCCAAATTCAATTTGTCACCCCCTCCAAACCCACCCCCTCTTCCATGTTCCCCTGTGCTGGCTTGTCACACCACAGTGTGGAGGCCTGTGGCTGGTCCTACACTTCCTCTCTCCCACCCCTCCCTGGGGACTGGGTCCCCACCCCATCTCCTCCCCCGCCCTCGTTTGCCCCTGCAGTCCCACTGGGTCCTGACCCCCTCGCCAAGGCAGCCAGAGCTGACCCCTCACCGGCCCCTTCCACCTCTCTGCCACTCCCATCCAGACTCCACTCTCCGGCCAGGATCAAGAAGAGCTTGCTAGAAACAATTCTGCCACAAATTTGAAATGGCTGGGGCACCGGGGGCTCCGCTGGCTGAGTGTCTGACTCTTGACTTCAGCCAGGTCATGATCTCAGGGTCGTGAGATCGAGCCCTGCGACTGACGTCACGCTCAGCAGGGAGCCTGCCTGAGGTTCTTTCTCTTCCTCTCCCTCTGCAACCCCTCCCCTTGCTCGAGCACGTGCAAGCTCACGCTCTCCAATTCATAAATAAATAAATCTGAAGAAAAAAACTTGAAATGGCTTTTCACTCAATCCAGACTAAAGAACTCCAGCATGACCTTCAGGGACAGCGTGCCTTCCCTCCAGCTGCTCTGCATACGCCTCCTACTAGGTGCAGTGACTCAGCTCCTCGGACCATTCTCCAAGAACCTTTTACTGAGTGTCCAGTGTCATTCCAGGCCTTGGTGACACAGAGATCAGTAGCCTCCTGCCTAACGGAACTAACAGTGACATTCCTTGAGGCATGCCGTTTCTTCCCCCTGGGACATTATCCCCTCTGGATTGTTCTCAAACCTACCATGCAGAGTTAGTGCCCTGGGCACACCTTGCTGTAATCCCTTTCATACATGGCTGCTGCTTCACCGGGTTTCTGTGTACCCGGCATATAGTCTCAATGCTGAAATCCTTTCATTCATTCAAACATTTACTGAGCACTTACTACGTGACAGGCACTGTGAGGTGCTGAGGACACACCGATGAACAAAGTAGACACAATTCTTTTTTTTTTTAAGATTTTATTTTTTTGAGAGACAGAGATCACAAGTAGGCAGAGAGGCGGGCAGAGAAAGAGGGTGAAGCAGGCTCCCTGCTGAGCAAAGAGCCCTATGCGGGACTCAATCCCAGGACCCCGAGATCACGACCTGACCTGAAGGCAGAGGCTTAACCCACCGAGCCACCCAGGCGCCCCAGTAGACACAATTCTTATGGTCATAGAGCATACATCCCAGTGTGGGAGACAGACGACAGAGATAGTCAAACAGGTAGGGTATATTAGAGGGTGATGTGCTATAAAGGAAAAAATTGAGTTGCAGGAAGAAGGTTGAGTGGAATGAGTGTCTACAGACAGGAGATCCAGAGTAGGTCTCCTGGATAACGTGAAGTTTGAGCAGTGAAACAATGCAGTAAATGAAAGTACAGGCTCTGTGGGTGCCTGCAGGAAGAGCTTCCAGATGTAAGCCAAAGCCAGTGCAAAGGCCCTGAGTTGAAGTGAGAGCAGTAGAGGAAGGGAGAAAGATACTTGGTGTGCCGGGTTGGAGGGAGACCATAGGACCTCGTAGGGCTTTGCCATTGTAGATACTGGCTTTTACTCTGAATAAATGGAGGACCCCTGGAGTATTTTGAACAGAGGCGGGGACAGAATCTGACCTAGAATTTAAAAGCATCACCCTGGCTGCTGTCTTCTGACTAGAACATAGCAGGAGCAAGGGGAGAAGCAAAGAAACCGGTGAGGTAGCTGCTGGAGTCATCCAGGTGAGAGCAGTGGCTGGGGCCAGGCAGGCAGCACACAGCTGGTGGGGAGTGGCCAAGCTCTGGACAGACTTTTGAAATGAAGCCCATAAGGGCGCCTGGGTGGCTCAGTGGGTTAAAGCCTCTGTCTTCGGCTCAGGTCATGATCTCAGGGTCCTGGGATGGAGCCCTGCATCAAGCCCCGCATTGAGCCCCGCATTGGGCTCCCCGCTCAGCAGTAAGCCTGCTTCCCCCCTCCCCCTGCCTGCCTCTCTGCCTACTTGTGATCTCTGTCAAATAAATAAATAAATAATCTTAAAAAAAAAAAGGAAAACAAAAAGAAGTGAAGCCCACGGCATCTGAGGATGGGCTGCATGTGACAGGGGAGGGAAGGAGAGCTTGCACTGCGGTCTGTGCAAATGCAAGACTGGACTTGCGACTGGACTTGCTCATGAACTGATGGGGGGTGGTGGGAAGAACGTCTATTCAAGTCTTTTGTCCACTGAGTCATTGGTCTTTTGCTGTTGACTTGTGGAAAATCCCATTTTGAAGTGAACTCACTCTCCACCCCAGGTCTTCCAGGCCCTCATTTAAAGAGCTCTTCCTCTCCCTTAAAATCCAAATACAGGTAGTTTCAGAGCCAGAAGACACCCTAATGTCATTTACTCCACCTCCAGAATGGCCCCTATTCCTGCAATTTTTTGAGTTCTCAAGCCTCAGAATCGGTTGTCTAACCTCAGTCCTTCCTGCTGCACACCGGCCTCTACTGCTTTGGCTCCACAAATAAAAAAAGTCAAGCAAAAATCACAGATTAGATTTGGAGTTAAGATTCCAATAGACCCGGGGCACCTGGGTGGCTCAGTGGGTTAAAGCCTCTGCCTTCGGCTCAGGTTATGATCCCAGGGTCCGGGGATCGAGCCCCGCATCGGACTCTCTGCTCAGCGGGGAGACTGCTTCCTCCTCTCTCTCTGCCTGCCTCTCTGCCTACTTGTGATTTCTGTCTGTCAAATAAATTAAAAAAAAAAAAAAAAAAAAAAAGATTCCAATAGACCCGAAACACAAGGTGACCCATTTACAACGCGATCCTCAAGCAAGGCCAGGTGACTTGGCTCCGCGAACGAGAAAGGACACGCACGCGCCGTAGAACTGAGGGCATGACGAGGCCGAGGAAGTCGTGGCTTCTGCCCGAATCTAAGATGGCCGCGAGCCCCGCCCATCACCTCCTCAGGTGGTGGCGGGGGAGAGGCTCAAAGCTCAGCACGCCATTGGTGGAGTTGCCCGCGGCGTATCCCCGCCCCCTCGCGAGGGGCGGGAGTGACAGTGTCCCAATTTCCGGTTCCGGCAGTACTGGGAGCCGGGTCGAGATGGAGGAAGATGCGAGTGGGGGCCGGCGGTCGCGGGGCATGGAGGCTCGAGTGGGCGCTGTGGCCTAAAGGGCCGGGTTCGGAGCTCGCCTCAGTCGCGGCAGAACCGCCCTGATCGGAGGAGGTGAGAAGCCGGCGGCGCGGAGCGCCTGACGGCGGAGGTCTCCGAGGACCCGGACCTGTCACGGCGGCGGCGAGTGCCTGCGGCTCCGCGGGAGCCGGCCTCGCAGCCCCGGGGCCGAGGGGCGGCTGCGGCCAGGCGTCTGCTCCTGTCGGAGGAGCGCGCGGCGGAGGGAGCGGGGCGGGGGCGTGGCTCGGCGGCCCAGAGCCCCGGGCCGAGGGCGGCCGTGCGGGGGGCCCGGGCAGGCGCTGCCGGGACGGCTGTCGTGCGGTGTCTGTGACGAGGATCGCGTGGGTGCCTGTGGACGACCCCGGGAGGGCGGGGGGGGACAGCTCGGGGAGGGGGGGGGGGTCGGCCTCGAGGGAGGGGTCGGAGGGGTCAGAGGCGTCGCGGTCTCCGAGCGTGGAGATGTGTCCGCGCCCGTGCGGGGAGAGGGAGTCTGGATGCAGACGCAGTGGGAGAGTGAGGGACAGAAGGGGGGCAGAGGCCTTGTTTCCGCTGAGAATCGGGGGGCCGAGCCCAGCGTGTGGGTCCAGAGCTGCGGGACGGGGTTTGCTTTGGTGCGGGTGGCCCCGGGAACAGCTCTGCCTGCGTCTGGTAACCAGTGCTGGGCCCAGTTCTGGCGACAAGTCAGATAGAGTCGTAATGGTCCTGGACTTTTTGAGCAGCTCTGTCATCGTTATTCCGATAGTGACAGTCGTCACTTAAAGCAGTGTTTTCCAAACCCTGGGGCACTGTAGTCACCCAGAGAGCTCGTTGACCTGTGGCTCTCACTGGGCGGGCTAGCCTGCAGCCTCAGGTCGTGTGTCTGCAAGCTCCCAGGTGCGTGCGCGGCTCTGCCCAGCCAGGGCTCAGGGCAGCGCTGTCCGGGAGAGCTCTGCAATGGCAGAGATGCTTCGCTGTTACAGAATGCTTTCCCACGGGCCGCCACATCGCTGTATGTGTGGCGGGCCTGGCTGCCCCGCTTCCCAGATGAGGAAACTGAGTTTCAATGAAGCGACACGGTTCCGATCGTACCAGTAAGTAATGGAAGTGGACCTCGGACCTCCTGAGTACGGGTGTTCTTCCCACTGCATGACCCCGGCCTTCCAGGTGGCCTGCCTTGTCCTGAACCAGAGTCTTACCTCAGAACCTAGAGAATGATCTGGAGTGATGCTTCTGGTTCAGGAAGAGTGCAAGTGGAAGGGAGAAGTGCAGAGACCACCAATCTGTCCCTTTCCCCTGCTGGGCTTGTTAGCGGAGGCCCTGCCTCTCACATCTCGGGGTGTCCTGGGTCATCTGTTGGGCTCCATAGGAAGCACTTCAGACTTTGCGCCTGGGCAGTTGTTGAAAGATGGGAGGAAACTCAGATTCGGAGCTGTGCACGCAAGTAAGGGTCGGCGGAAAGAGCAAGAAAGAACGGGGGCTGCTGAGCTGGGAGAAGGGAAGCCCAGAGGCAGTGTGCGTACGGGCACCTGCCAAGAGGATTTTCCATCGGGTAAAACTGGAGGGACTAGTTTTGGTATTTCAGCAGGAAGTTTGGAGGTTATGGAACAAAGAGCAGGTTGGGATCCCACTTTCGAGGGGCCCCCGCAGCTTTTGAAGGGTTAGAGGGGGTGTGTGCGTGGCCTTCTCTCCTTCAGCTGTACAAGCTTCTCCCTCTGAGGCATGACCCTTAGTGGCTTTGGTCACCATGGCAGCTGTAGAGGACACCTGCCTTGGCTTCGGAGAGTCCCGCCTTCCTTCTGGGAATTTACAATCAATCGGCCCAGGTAAGGATGGAGGAAAGCGGAGAAATGGGGTGCTGGGTCCCGCCGTCGGACTTGTTGTCAGGAGTTAGTGGTTCTTTATGATCGAGCCCGACAAGTTGAGAACGAGTCCACTGCTCTTCTTTTCTGTCCCGCTTAGCACAGTTGGCGCGAGCCCGGCAGGAGGCCGTCTTGCTTGAGCCTTGCCGTATTTGTCCGGTGACAGCAGCGTGCTGGCCAGCCGCTCAGCTCGGCCAGTCCCTCCACCAGCACGCTGGGAAAGCAGAGGCAGCTCTTGGTTTCTCTGGAGCAAAGCTGAGAGAAATCTCTGGTCATCTGCAGGCCCAGGAGCTTATGGTTAACCCTTTAACCCTTGAGTGACCAGCAGCCATGAAAGCATTAATGCTGCCTACCACGGGTGGGAGGGACCCGGCTTTAGACTGAGCAGTGTGACTTGTGTCCGAACGCCTCACTTCCGTGGGGTAGAAGGCATGGTCAGTAGAGGAGAAATCTTGGCTCATACCCTGCCTCCACCATGACCTTGGACCTGTTCCTTTTACCTTATCTGATGCCGAAGTGTCTGCCTGTGCACAGGTGAGGTTCTAAGGTCACATGAGGTGACAGGTATTCGGAAAATCCTTGAGTCTCTCTCTGCTCATCGCCCAGTGCTGTTGGAAACATGACCTTGGGACCCTGGATACCAGACACTCTGGGTCACTACCACCTTCTCTTGAAGGCCTCAGAGGAGAGGACTGTGGGGCTTGGTGGGTGTCCCCATCTGAGGCTGGGGAGGAAGGGCCACTTTTGCCCGCGGCAGGTGACATGGCAGCCTTCCTTTCGGTTATTTCCCACATCCTAGGTGCTCCTCCTGGGCCGAGCTGGTTGTTCTAAGCCATCGTTTGCTGCTCTCGTGGTCTGGTGCATTTCTGCTCTGGCCACACGGCTCTGCCCTGCAGGGTTCCTCCGCTGGCCTCACCTGGAAGCTGAGGTTTTCCCTCAGGGCACAGATGTTTGGCTTGCCCTGCAGGCAGCCTGGCCTTCTGTGACAGTGACACAGTCCAGCTGGGGGTGGGGGTGGGGGCTCACTGTGCTTCTCTGCTGACTTCCATGGCAAAGCGAGAAGGTCCTCAGGCTACTTGGGACCTTTGGTTGGGAGAGGTGGTCGTGGATGGATTCCGTTTAGACACTCGACATGAGGTTGGCCAAGGCACTGGCTTCGGGAACATTTCAGCTTCTAGAGTTGTCCCTTTAATGTGGCCACCTCCTTTCCAATCCTATCGGGATTTCTCCCAAAACCTGGGGAGCCCCTGACTTCTCGCGGCCAGTTCCACCTCCCCGCTTACACTCTGGCCGAAAATGTCCGGTGTCATGGGCAGGAACACGTTCCGTTGTCGCTCAGGGCATGTCCAGTAGATCATGACCTGTTGCTGGACAGTTCTTAAGTTGGAAGGTCCTGGTTTCATATGGTTATTGCATTAGTGCTGGTTTTGCTGGAGAACTTCGGTGGTGGCCAGGCCTGACATTAGAGCCACGGCAGCTTACTTTGGCCTGGTTTCTGTCTGAGTCTTAGATCCATTTCCCGGAGGGATTGCTGTTGTCTTTGAAAACAGACTGTGCGTGTCTGGAAGGCAGAGGCAGTATCTTCCTATCGCTTGGGTCTCCCCTCATTGTACAGCACAGAGGTTACGATTTCTGTGCGCAGGGGTGAGAAGGGCCAGGCCTGTCCTGTGCCCTGTGGTTCTCCAGACTTCAGGGAAACCTCTTTGCTCTCTGCTGCTGTTCTCTAGAGTGAGTTATCTAATAACCAAAGGGGACTCTGACCTTTGGCTTGTTGCTAACTTTCTATCCTTTGCTGGAGGGAGGGGAGGGGGGCAGACTTTCTTCTAATGCAGGCTGCAGGGAAGATAAGTGGAGTGTGAGTGAGTCCCGGCAGCTCTGCGGGCCCAGTCCGCTGTGGGTAAATGGTGACAAAAGAAGCACCTGCTGAGGGTTAGCGGTCAAGGCGGTGCCTCCTTGGGAGGCCCTGGGGGCAGCCAAAACGGAGCACTGGCTTCCCTTCGGCATTAGGAGCCTGCTAAGTGTCACTCAGTGACACCCTTCATCCCGCCTGGAGGCCTCGCCCCTGGCCAGGTGCTTTCTCCGGCGGCATCCTGAGCTCTGCCTGGGTGAACAGAGCGGGAGGCTCATGGGCTATGACTCAGGGCCCGGGCAGAGGCAGGGACTGGGATCGGTGGTCTGCTCAGCCGGGGCAGGGAGCCGAGCTGGGAGCGGAGCCGCGGGAGTTACTGAAGTGAGGGCGGCTTCTGGAGTTGGGGAAGGGCTGACTAAGGAGAGAGAAGGGGGCACGAAGGACGACTCGGGCAAGAGAGCCGGCCAAGCTGGACCGGGTGGGATCTAAACTCCAGGGAGGCGGGTACCCCGGAGATGAAGCCTGAGGACGGGGTTCGGAGCCTAGCCAGCAGGGCAGAGCACGAAGCCCTGGCCTCCTTGCCCACGTCCTCCCGCCCACTCGCACCCCCAGGTCTGTAGGCGCCATGGAGGACAAACGCAACATCCAGATCATAGAGTGGGAGCACCTGGACAAGAAGAAGTTTTACGTGTTTGGGGTGGCAATGACCATGATGATCCGCGTCAGCGTCTACCCGTTCACCCTCATCCGCACCCGGCTGCAGGTCCAGAAAGGCAAGAGCCTCTACCACGGGACCTTCGATGCCTTTGTCAAGATCCTGCGAGCCGATGGCGTGACTGGCCTCTACCGGGGCTTCCTGGTCAACACCTTCACGCTCATCTCCGGCCAGTGCTACGTCACCACGTACGAGCTCACCCGGAAGTTTGTCGCTGACTATAGCCAGAGCAACACGGTCAAGTCGCTGGTGGCTGGCGGCTCGGCCTCCCTTGTGGCCCAGAGCATCACGGTACCCATCGATGTGGTGTCCCAGCACCTGATGATGCAACGCAAGGGTGAGAGAATGGGCCGCTTCCAAGTGCGAGCGAGCCCCGAGGGACGAGGGGTGGTAGCCTTTGGCCAAACCAAGGACATCATCAAGCAGATCCTGCGGGCTGACGGGCTCCGAGGCTTCTACCGGGGGTACGTGGCGTCACTGCTCACCTACATCCCAAACAGTGCTGTCTGGTGGCCCTTCTATCACTTCTATGCAGGTAAGGGGGGGTGGGAGAGCAGGGGTTGGGCGGGTGGGGTGAGTGGGGGCGGGGCGGGCGGGGCGCTGTGCAAGCCAGAGAGGAGGACTTCAGGGAAGAACGGCGTGTTCGTCCAACAAACATTTGATCCCAAGAGGGCTCACGGATGAATGAGACACGGGTTCTTGCTTTCGGGGAGCTTCTGTCATCGTGGGGGGACTCAGACGAGTCAAGTAGATGACTCTAGAACATCAAGTATGTTGATTGCCTTAATCAGTGGGGGTTCGTGGACTTTAATTGGAAGGCGAGGAAGGACAAAATTCATGGGATATTTGGGATCTGAAGAGGAAATTTCAAATTTCAGATGACTTTTTGCATTGGATGCCTTTCCTCAGCCTTGTTAAATTCAGGGTGTCAAAGAGCCTGGAACCCCTCTGCTCCTAGAATGTATTTTTGTTCATAAGACATTTTACTTCTTCTTAAGTGTTTCCCAGAAATGGATTACTGGGTCCAAAGATAACATTTTTGAGGGCCTCAATAAGCATGTTGCCAGACTTCCTTCTGGAAGGCAGAGTGCATTGCCAAGAACAGGATCTGAGCGTGCCCGTGACCGTTGACACCCACGGCTTTGGGCCACCAGTGGACTCCCGTGAGGACGGTGTCTGCTTGCGGCCTCCGCAGTCCCTGCTGTGGGCTCCGAGCCTTGGCCATGGGCATTCTGCCCAGTCCATCCGGGACCTTTCTAACCAAACTTCATAATGCCTTCCTCACCTGTCATCATCCTCTCCCTCCAGGACTACACCTTTGTGATTCTCCTATTCTCCTGACTGTGCCTTCTTCTTTATTGCTAGCTCTGTTTCTCCCTCCTGTTTAGCACAGTCTTTCTTCTTGCATATTTGGTAAAATTCACCCAGACTCCACCCCTGACCTTTTGCCTCAGATCCTTTGGGAACAGATCCTGGTAATCTTAATGTTGAGAAAAACTCTAAGAGGGACGCGTGGGTGGCTCAGTCTGTTAAGTGTCTGCCTTCGGCTCAGGTCATGATCCCGGGGTCCTGGGATCGAGCCCCGCAACCAGCTCCCTGCTCAGTGGGAAGCCTGCTTCTCCCTCTCCCTCTGCCCCCCGGCCTGCTTGGGCACGTGCACTCTTTCTCGCCAAAAAAAAAAAAAAAAAAAAGAAGAAGAAGAAGAAAGAAAAAAAGAATCACTCTAGGAAATGTGAGCGTTTTCTCTGGCATCTGTCTTTGCCCTTCTCTCCTCATGTGATTTCATTTACAATTGACTTGTCCTTTTCTGCCATGTCAGAAAATCTGTGTCTGTCCCTAGACTAACTTTCCAGAGCTCTGGACAGGCACTGACTGTTGAGCCTCCCGACTTGGACGCATGCATTTACATCGGAAACACTATGCAGTAAACTCTTTTTCATCCCAAGCTGGTTGACTCACTTCCTTCTCTCAGTGGCCAGGTTATGCTCCATGTCACTGACACAGTCACTCCCTCGTCCCCACATCTGGTCCTGGTGACCCCGGAATGTCTTTTCCTACTCTCTGTCCGTTTCTCCTGCCTTCCCTGGAAACCAGGCGTCCGGGGCCACCCTGCCGGCTGCTGTGCTAGCCCTCTAGCTGGCCTCCCATCCCACCTACCACACCTGCCAAGGGAGTCACTCTGTAACCCCTGGACGTGGTGCTCAGCGGCTCCCCCTGCTGGCCGAGGACGGGTCCATCTCTTCAGCCTGGCTTCCGCCGCCCTTTACAGCGGGGTGTCCCCTGGTGTGGTGTGCGTGGTGTGCGTGGTGTGCGTGGTAGCCAGGCCAGATCATGCACAAATCTTCCCACCCCAGCTTTGTTCCTCTCGGCCGTCCGGGTGCACCGGCCCTGTGAAGCCATGACGTACGTGAGTGCTGCTCACTGCCGCCTCACATCTCTCCTTGGAGCCCTTCTTAACCCCGAAACCACCTGTCTGTCCTTGAGTCCCGGTGGCGTTCCTTGAAGCTTCCTTCTGCAGCTGCATAGCGTGCCTCGATGCCGTTTGTGTGCGCCTGCTCTGTTCCATGATGTGGAAAGGTTCCCTTTTTCCTAATGCATTTTTCAGTTGAGATACAATTAAGATACAGTTGATTGGGAAGTTTCTTGGAAGGGGGAGGAAACTGACATTTATTGACTGAACGCCACCTGCCAGACGGGCTCCTGGACACGTGTGCTTCGTAAATGCTTGTTGAATGAGTAGAGTGGTTCTTGTCATCCCCTTTGGCTTAAAATCTGCCAATGGTGCCTTATGAGCATTTAGGATAAGTGTAAACACAAGTTTACAAAGTGAACACGAGTGTGCCCGTGGCCAGTGCAGGTCCCCATGATCTGGCCGCTCTGCTGGGCCAGCCCCGCGGTGGCCTCCTTCCACTTGCTCCGCTCCGTCCTCACTGTCCTGCTCTCTGTTCCTGAAACACACCAAGCTCTGTTCTCACCTTTCCACATAACGTTCTCTCAGCCTGGAGCGCCCTGTCCCCCGTCGTCCTTCTGGTGCTCCAGGCCTCAGCCTACATGCCACCTTTGCACAGAAGACGTCTTCATCCAGTTGGAAAAAGGGCTCCTTCTTTTTTCAGCTTGTTTCCTTCACAGCATTTGTCATAATTGGCGATCACTTTGTCCTTGACTCACAACTCCTACAGCAGAATGTGAGTCCCATAAAGGCCCTTCCACGTTCCTTTCTCTGCTGTGTGTCCTGTGCTCAGAGCAGTGCCTGGCATCCGGTAGCGTGAAATAAACCGACATTTATATTACTGTCCAAAATCATGTGGCCAGGAGGGACTTAAACCAAGTGAGCTTGGGTTTACCATCTGCTCTGCAGATACTCGGTGCCCATGAGCGCTTGTTGAACGATAATGGAGAGCAGAGACCTGGAGCTCTTGCCCCCATCCTCTTGCTTTGTTTTCTCATCCTCTCCCGAAGTCCCAGGAACGTGGTCTGTGTGCATGACTACAGCTGGAACCCGGAGCCTGCTGTGGCTTGCAGGCCCAGGGGCCAGTGCAGACAGGCCCATGGAGGCTGGCAGCGCCGAGCCGGATGCCACCTCGCAGTGGCTGTGAGATGCTTCCTTCTCTGGAGAAACAGGACGCGGGTGTCTCGGTTTATGCTGGTCACTCTCTGGTTTATGCGGACCGGTGGCTAGCGACCTCGGGTGGCGGGGGAGGCAGCTCTGGCAGGCCATATGGAGTCCTCCCATGCTGCTGGATTTAGAGGCTCTCACGCCTACCCCCGATCTTTAGGTGGCCACAAATGACCAAAAGTAGGGATGAGAAGAAAACTCTCTAAGGTTCTATGGCAACTGAGCTGTAGAGAGAAGACGGAGACAGAACCTGCGATGGCAAGCCTGCCGTGCATCCACCTCCTGCGGAGCAGAAGCCAGAGCTTCCGCCTCACACTGGCCTTGCTGCCCTTGAAGACTTAGGCCCGCTCTTGCCTCAGGGCCTTTACACAGGATGTTACCTTGCCCGGAAAGTTCTTTGCACAGATCCATAGCGCTTGCCTTCAGGTCTTTGCTCAGACTCGAGCCTTCTTGGCGAGGGCTTCCATGCCACCGTGTTTACCACGGCAGCCCTGCGTTGCCAGCACTCCGCACTCCCGTCCCCTCTCCTGCTTTATCCTTGACAGGGGACACACGTGACCTTCTGACGTAGCTCTGTCTTTTGGTTTTTGGGATTGCCTGTGTCCCCCCCCTCCCCCCCCCCCCCCCCCGTAGAACAGAAACCTTTATGAGGTTGGGATTCGACCTTGTTTATTCACACCTCCATCCTCGGGGCCTGGGGCGGCTGGCCACGTGGCCACTCAGGGAGCCTTTGTTCAACAAGCGAGCTCTCATCTTTCATGGCTAGAGAGGGTAAAGCTAACGGTTCAGCCGCACTGAGCTTCCCCGTGACCAGGGAGTGGGTGAGTCTGGCCGTCTCCATCAGCAGTTTGAGAAATGAGCTTTGCTTTCTCGATACTGCCTGGAGAAAACATCTCACTCTAGATGTGACTTTCTCTCGTTATTGTTTTTATTTTTAAAAACATTCATATGGCGGGGGACCCCTGGGTGGCTCAGTCAGTTAAGCGTCTGCCTTCGGCTCAGGTCATGATCCCAGACTCCTAGTATCGAGCCCTGCATCGGACTCCCTCCTCAGTGGAGAGCCTACTTCTCCCTCTTCCTCTGCCACTCTGCCTACTTGTGCTCGCTCACTCTCTCTAATGAATAAATTAAAAATCTTAAAAAAAAATTCACATAGAGGGGCGCCTGGGTGGCTCAATGGCTAAAGCCTCTGCCTTCTGCTCAGGTCATGATCCCGGGGTCTTGGGATCGAGCCCTGCATCGGGCTCTCTTCTCAACAGGGAGCCTGCTTCTCCCTCTCTCTCTCTGCCTACTTGTAATCTCTGTCTGTCAAATAAATAAATAAATCTTTAAAATAAATTCACATAGGTATATACATAATGGAGTATTAGCCATTAAAAAAAATGAAAACTTACCGTCTGCCATGACATGGACGGAGTTAGATGGTATAATGCTAAGTGAGATAAGCCAGTCGGGGAAAAACAGGTATTATAGGATCTCACACAGATGTAGAATTTAAGAAACAAGACAAAGAGAAAAACAGACAAACCAAAAAAACAGGCTCTTTGCTCTAGAGAACACACTGCTGGTCACCAGAGGGGAGGTGGGGGGGCTGGGAAACAGGTGATGGGGGCTGAAGGGGGTTAGTGTCATGAGCACTGAGCAGTATATAGGATTGTTGAATCACCGTATCGCACACAGGAAACTAATGTAACGCCGTATGCTAAGAAACTGGAATTAAAAAGTACAGTACAAATATTCACGTGGCCCAGAATGCACAAGGTCGGGACAGGGATGCGGGGAAGAGACCCCGTGCCCTCGGCAGTCACCCTGCCCCTTCCTCGTGCGTGCATGGGAAGACGGGCCCCGTGCGTGTTCCTGGCCGTGAGTCGAGAGGAGTGGAGCACAGGCACCGGGTTTTCGCACCAGGGAGGATTTCTGTCCATCAGATGAAAGGAACTGGCGTGCAGAGAGGTTCTGAAACCCCTTCTCCAGAGAACTGTTCTGTTCAGGTTGGAGATGGACTCCGCATGGCTTCCGGAAGGGCCCTCAGAGCCATCAGTGTTGTTGGCTCCGATGGAAGCCAGGAAGAGAAGATGGGTGTTCTGGGGTCCAAGGAGGCTGAGGCTGGAGAGGGTTCGTCCTCGTTGGGCACAGAAGCAGCCTGAGGGTCGACCGCGTGGCGCCGCACCTCTTGAGGCCTTGTCTTTCCCCCGATTCCAGAACAGCTCTCGTACCTCTGTCCTAAGGAGTGCCCACACATCGTCTTCCAGGCTGTCTCGGGGCCCCTGGCTGCGGCCACTGCCTCTATCCTCACCAACCCCATGGACGTCATCCGCACCCGAGTGCAGGTAAGACCAGCCTCCACCCGGCTGAGAAGGGTGAGTGACCTGCGGGCTCCCCCGTGTCCCCTGACCTCTGAGCCATGGCCTTCTAGTCTAGCTGGCCTTGTCCTGTCAGCCGGGCCCCCTCCCGCAGCTGGCTCACTTCTGCAGAAACCAGCTGAGCACGTCGAAGCCCCTAGTGTTCCCCTCATGGTGTCTGTGGCCTCGCACGTCCTGCTTCTGGCCTCACGCACTTGTTCCAGTCCCAGCATGCCCTGCTCCTGTCGTGGCCGTGCCCGCTGGGCCCCTCCCTGCCTGGCCGCCTGTTAGCATAGCCAATAGGACAGCTTTTCCTTACATCGCAGGTTTGTGGCTATTAGACGTCTGTGCATTTCGGCGGGTAGGTCTGGCTTCTCTGCTGGGCTGGGCTCTCTGCAGACTGTTCCTGGGCAGGCCCCACCGACCGTGCCAGGTAGACTCAGCAGGGCGCTGACAGCGCCCTTGGTGGTGCTGTCCGGGGACGATCGTCCCTGTCCTCCCTCAGCTCAAAGATAGCTCCCCGGCACCTCGTCCAAGGAAGCAGAATCTGAATCTGGGTGTGTCACATACAGGTGGCAGGGGCTGCGGTGTGGAGCTTTAGGTAAGAACAATGGGGGATTGTGATGTCTGAGGTGGGTAGGGTAGGAGGACCACTGTCCAGGAGAGTGGGGTCACTGTGAGGGTGGGAAGGGGGGAAAAGAAACTCAACAGCTTGGAGGTGAAGCCAGCTTCCCTGATACCAGGATGCTGGGACGGAGGTGGCCGGTAAATCTAGGTTTACTTGTCCCTAGGAAAGAATGCCGCCCCCACACACTTTTTTTTAGATTTTATTTATTTATTTGATGGAGAGAGACACAGCGAGAGAGGGAACACAAGCAGGGGGAGTGGGAGAGGGAGAAGCAGGCTTCTCGCCGAGCAGAGAGCTCCATGCAGGGCTCGATCCCAGAATTCAGGGATCATGGCCCGAGCTGAAGGCAGATGCCCAACGACTGAGCCCCCCAGGCGTCCCCCCCACACACACTTTTGAAGGAATCAATTGACATCTGATTGGTTTGCAGATAACAAAGTGCACAGGTTCCCTCCTCTTCTGAGGCTTATTTTGAGTGTTCCGTGAGGAGACCAAGGGAAAGGACAGGTGTCTGCTTCTGAGGCATTGACGGGTGGGAGGGGACAAAGCGGGTGGGAGGGGACAAAGCGCACCGGGCCCTGCCTGGCTGTGGCTCTGTGGGAGGGCAGGGGGCAGAGGGGCAGAGGAGAGTGCTGCCCAGGAAGAGCGGAGTGTGTGGCCGGTGCTTCGGGAGGTGGGTGGGGAGGGGGTGACGCTTGGAGCCGATCGTCTTGTGAACATCGCCCTGTCTGGGGAGGCGGGACACGGAGAGCTGGTGTCCTGCGCGGGCTGAGGGTCTGAGTGGGACCAAGTATGCTTCGGTGGCAGGGTCTGGGGGCACAGGAAGGGGGCAGGACTGTCAAGAAGAACAGAAGAGATTCCAGCCTCAGCTGGACTCCAGTGTGGCAGGGAACAGGGGCCTTGGGGGTTGTGTGGGTGCCAGGGTGAGGGGAGGAGTCCAGCCTCGGGGACTGAGGGACTGAAGTGGTCGGAATGGAAAGGACAGAGTGGCAGGGCCGCGAGTACCCGGTCTCCCTGAGGCTGGGGGGACGCAGCCAGGCAGGGCCGCAGCGGAGGGGCCAGTCTGACGGCGGTAATAGCTCCCACTAACGGGGCGCCAGGGCCTGCCAGCGGGACCGCTCACACAACTGCGGTGGGGCGGGGGGTCCTCCGTCGCTGTTGCATGCACGAGGGCCCCGAGCGCAGAGTACGCTCCCCACGGGGCTGCGCTGTCGGTGACCAGTGACCGGGGAGCAGGATCTGACCCCGGCAGGCGGGCCGGCACCGGGGCCCACATGCAGCCCCGGGCCACCCTGCCGCTTCCAAGCACGGTCCCACCTGGGACCCCAAGGCACAAGGCTGTGCTGAGCGGCTCCGACCACAGCCCGCGGCCCTCCGCTGTGTGCTTCTTCAGGTGGAAGGCAAGAGCTCCATCATCCTGACCTTCAGACAGCTGATGGCAGAAGAGGGGCCCTGGGGCCTCATGAAGGGCCTCTCGGCCAGAATCATCTCAGCCACGCCCTCCACCATCGTCATCGTGGTGGGCTACGAGAGCCTCAAGAAGCTGAGCCTGCGGCCGGAGCTGGTCGACTCCCGACACTGGTAACCCGCGGCGGAAGCCAAGCCCACTGGTGGCCGCGCTGCTCTGGGGCAGGGGCCGTGTGGGGAGGGTGGCGCCGCCCCCCGATGGGCTCCCCGCCACCCCACATCCGCAGCCCTACCCCAGGGGGCCTGTCTGGGACAGGGCAGAGACGGAACGGCTCTTGCTGAAGAAGCTCCACACCGGGACCCCCTCGCCCATTACTTTTCATTATCTTGCCCGACTGGGCTCCCTGGCTCAGTCCCGGTCCTCAGCCCTGGCCTAAGGAAACCCACCGTCCAGTGCCACCGCCCCACGCCCTGCGGACCCTTCTTCTGGCTTCCCCCACCGTCTGTGTCCCTGAGACCCTGACAAGAGCTGTACGTAGAGCTTGCTTCCCGTCACTGGTCTTCTCCTGGGCCCCCAGCCCCGCTCCCATCAGCTGCCACCAGCCCTCTCCCGCCGCCTTCCCCGGGCCCGCTCGTGTTTATCTGGGACTGAGCTGCCCACCGGACTGCTCTGCTTCTCCCTGCCGACGGGGCGCTGGGGGCGCGAGGCCAGGCACTTCCGCGCGGGGAGTAGGAACAGCGAGAACCTCTGGTGTTCCAGAGCACTTGTCCTCTCTTTGGAGAGGTATTAGGTTGGGGACAAATGTTGATCCTTTATCTTGTGTGTGTGTTTTTTAACACCTGTGAACTAGGTACTGTCAGTCCTGCTGAAGCGCCAGTCCTGCAGTCAGAGCCCACCCCTTCCTCAGAAAGGTGGAAAACGCGGCTTTTCCCTCAATCCCGATTGTCTGTCCCGTCCACATTCCGAGCCAGCAGCCCCCGGACGTGCAGGCCCGGGGCGACTAGAGGCCTGCCAAGTGGAGAGAACAGCCGGTCCGGGGCGGCCCAGTGGAGCTCTGGGCCCTAGGCAGTGGGGCCGCCCGTGTCTGCACCCGGGTCAGCGGGACTCACGGACACACAGGCCTCACAGCGGGAGCCTCCGAGTCGTGAAACCACTGGTGTTTCTCTCCTCATCCCAGTGAAGAGCCTTCCCGGTCACAGGCCTCCCGAGGGGTGCTGGGAGAGTCAGGAGCGGGCGCGAACCACCTGCTCACGACCGCTGCACTTACCAGCCGGCACTGCCCTGGCAGCCGCCCGGCGCTCCTCCTCCCCCACGCGCCGCTGCCACCCAGGCCGCCGCATCCACAGAAGGCACATGTGTGTCTGGAGGACCCTTCCCACCTCTCATCGGTCCCACCCCGGGAAAGGCCGCGGTGCCGGGAAAGGTGCTAGCTACCCGAGGCCTTGACACTTCTACGGCTGCCCCCTTCCGTCTCCCTGGCCAGGTCAGAGCCAGACCCCGCTTCTCCACGTCTGCCCACCTGGGTCTGTCAGATCTTTGAGGGCGAACCCCCTTCACCTCCCTTTGGTTTTGTGTCCCCTCTCCTCCTCTGGCAGGTGTCCCCCAGTGTCTGTCCCCTAGTGGCTCCCCCCCACACCAGGGCGCACAGGTGACTCTGACCCACTGCCCCTCAGTCACCCACCTGCCCAAGAGCCACCAGGAGGGTGGAGGCCAGGGCCCCTGTCCCTGCAGTCTCCGCGCTTCCGCCCCACGCCTCCTCCCTAGAGGCCCGTCTGCCGTGGGCCCCACGCTGGCCACGGGGCCGGGCGGTGGCAGGAGGGGGCGTGCGTGCGCTCACACTGCTTTCCCCCGAGCTCCCCATGCGGGGTGCCGCACACCTCCCCCCCGCCCTCTCTACCTCTCCCTCTGTCCGGCTGTCCCTCTGTCCACCTCTTTCTCCCTCTGTCCATCGCTCCCTCCTTCCTCCACCTCTCCCTCTGCCCACCTCCCTCTCTCGCACCCGGCCCCTGGGCTCCCACCCAGCCCGTCAGGGGGCGGGTGGCCTCGGGTTACGGAGCGCCCGGGTGGGCAGAGGGCCGAAGGCGGCGGCCGCTGGACTTGCGGGGGGCTGGTCCGTGGCCCGCCCCGGAAGGAACGCGGGACAACGGGGCGGCGGGCACACTGGACTGCTGTGAACACGAGCGGCGGACACCCACTGTCGCACTGTACGAAGTCTCTGACGTGTGATTAAACCTTTTTACTGAGCCCCCGGGCGTCGGCTTGCGAGTGGTCCGCCTGCCCGCCCGAGCGCGCCGCTCCCCGCCGCCCCGCGCGGCTCGGTGACGGACACCCGCCGCTTCCAACCGGAGGCGCCCGGTGCCGGGCCGGCCAATCGGGGGGCCCGGGGGCGGGGCGAGCGAGCCCGTTAGATTTGGCGGTCGGGGTTCAACATGGCCGCAGCGCGCCGCGTCCACGCAGACGGCGACTGCGAGGAAAAGGGGCCTGAAGGGTCGTGTCCAGCCGTGCCCCCCGGCGCCACCATCCCGAGGGTGAAGCTCCTCGACACCTTGGTGGAAACTTTCCTCCAGAAGCTGGTCGCTGCCGGGAGGTAAGGGGCGGGAAGCGAGAGGCCAGGGAAGGGGCGCGGCGGCGGCCGGTCACGTGGCCTCGCGCCCGGGTCGTGACTGGCCGGGATCCACCCGTGGTCACGTGGTCGCGCGCGCGCGCCGTTGGGGGCGGGGCGGGGAGCTGGGCGCTCGGCCGGCGGGGCGTGCCCCCGCGGGTGGGCTGCGGCGGGGCTCCCCGCGCCCCAGACCCGCACCGAGCGCCGGCGGTCCCTGCGCGCGCGGCTGCAGTGCGTACAGGTCCGGGCGCCGCGCGTCCCTGGGGGCAGACGCGCGGGGAACGGGCGCCGGGCTTGCCGAGACCGTGGGCGGGCGCCGGGCTGGAGGGCAGCGCGGGGAGGGAGCCGCAGAGGACGTGACGCCGAGCGGAACCTGGAGGAGGGAGCGACGGGGAAAAGGCTACGGACGAGGCTTGCGCAAAGGCCCGGAGGTCGTCAGGCCTGCCGGGGGGTGGGGGGGCAGCTGGTGGCCTTCGTGCAGTTCTCCGTAGGAAGGAACCTGATAAAGCATCCGTTGTTGTTCTTGTGGACCCGTCGTAAGCCACCGCCGAGATCTGCCCAGGCGAGGTCCCCCCTGTGTTTTAGGTATTTGCGGTTTTGGCCCCTCCCCCCCTTCGTGTCTTCCTCTCCCCTCTACATAGGCCTCACTTTCCGTGGGCTCCGTGTCCTCCGGTTATAGGTGTATGAGTACTTGCCCGCAGTGTCGCCGGCGGTGCTGCAGGAGCTGGAGGTAGACCCGCGGTCGGGCCGGAGGGCGCCTGCTCTCGTGGAGCCGGTGTCCAGGGCCATCAGGAGAAGGGAGTCGGGGTAGAGGAGTAGAGCGGCGGCGGGGGGGGGGGCATCTGGGTTAGCAAGTGCAAGGAGGGGACATTGCTGTGTTTGCCTCCTTGTAAAACATGTTCCGTGCCTGTTTGTAAGCACGTGAGTGATAAGCGGGCTGCGTAGGCCGTTTTCACTGAACACCGCTTGCTTTAAGCTGTCACCACGTATCCTCCGTGCCTGTGGTGCAGGGCCGCTCCGGCTGCCTTTCATTCCCTGATAGACATCTGGCGCTCACCCAGCCGGTGGCAGACCCCTGGCCACCTCTGGGCCCGTCCTCTACAGCTCCTGCTTGGGCGACTGTCCTTGTCCTTGCTTTTGCACGAGCGCTGGCATTTCTGCACGAGGGTAAGGGAGAGGGGCCCTGGATTCTGGGGTTCACACCCGCCTCTGCCTTGTCAGATCGCTTTCCAGAAAAGCTGTTCCTGTCTCCTCCATCCTCACCGGCACCGGTGTCCACCACCTAACCCCTGCTGCTCTGAAGGCGTGGACAGGGCTGTCCACAGTGTGGTAATTCGCGTGTCCCGCTGCCTCGCAGCTTCGGACATAACCCTCATCGCTCTTGTCAGTCATGTGGCTTTCCTTTTCTGCCCCCGGCCTCCTCGTTTCCTCCAGGTTTTTTTTTTCCAGACTCATTTTCTTAAGATTCTATTTATTTTGGGAATGCAAGCTGGTGCAACCACTCTGGAAAACAGCATGGAGGTTCCTCAAAATGTTGAAAATAGAACTACCCTATGACCCAGCAATTGCACTGCTGGGTATTTACCCTAAAGATACAAACGTAGTGATCCGAAGGGGCACGTGCACCCGAATGTTTATAGCAGCAATGTCTACAATAGCCAAACTATGGAAAGAACCTAGATGTCCATCAACAGACGAATGGATAAAGAAGATGTGGTATATATACTCAATGGAATACTATGCAGCCATCAAAAGAAATGAAATCTTGCCTTTTGCGACGACATGGATGGAACTAGAGGGTATCATGCTTAGCGAAATAAGTCAATCGGAGAAAGACAACTATCATATGATCTCCCTGATATGAGGGAGAGGAGATGCAACATGGGGGGTTAAGGGGGTAGGAGAAGAGTAAATGAAACAAGATGGGATTGGGAGGGAGACAAACCATAAGTGACTCTTAATCTCACAAAACAAACTGAGGGTTAATGGGGGGAGGGGGGTTGGGGGGGTGGGATTATGGACATTGGGGAGGGTATGTGCTATGGTGAGTGCTGTGAAGTGTGTAAACCTGGCGATTCACAGACCTGTACCCCTGGGGATAAAAAGATATTATATGTTTATGAAAAATAAAATTTAAAAAAAAAAAAAAGATTCTATTTATTTGTCAGAGAGGGAGACTGAAAGAGAAGGAGGGAGCTCAGCAGGGAGAGCAGCAGCAGGGGGAGAAGCGGAGCTCAAGGCAGATGCTTAACCACTGAGCCACCGGGCGCCCGTTCTACAGAGTTTTAACGTTCTTTTAAAGAACTCACGCATTCTTACTAGGTCACTACCTGGTAAGCCTGCTTCCCCTCCTCTCTCTCTCTCTCTGCCTCTCTGCCTACTTGTGATCTCTCTCTCTGTCGAATAAATAAATAAAATCTTTTAAAAAAAAATTAGTTACTGATGACTTAGAGAAACTATTGCTTTTTGTGAGATACTTGTATCCAGTAGTCTTGCTCCGCTCTTACTGAAGTGTAACCTCCTCAGGGTGCGCAGGTCACCAGTGTTCAGCCTGATACCATTTCCGCGAATGAGCACGCCCCTGTGACCAGCACCCAGATCCGGAACACCCCCAGAAAGTGCCCAGGCGCCCCCTCCCATCTTCACCTTCAGCTGGAAGGGTAACCACTTTCCTGCCTTTTGTTAACCAGACATTAATTTTGTCTGGGTACCCCCCCTCCGCCACGCTTTATTAAATGGAAGGAATCCTGTGGTTTGTGATCTTTTACGTTGGACTCTTTTCCTCGACGCTGCCTTTGTGAGATTCACCCACATCGTCATCAAGGATTCGCAGTAGTAAACAGTGATGTAATCGTCTTTGCCTTCTTCCTTCTTCTCCACAGTGTTTAAGTTTCGGCTATGTATTGGAGCGCCTGGGTGGCTCAGTGGGTTAAAGCTTCTGCCTTCGGCTCAGGTCATGATCCTAGGGTCCTGGGATCAAGCCCCGCATCGGCTCTCTGCTCTGTGGGGAGCCTGCCTCCCCCTCTCTCTGTCCGCCTCTCTGCCTACTTGTGATTTCTGTCTAAGTAAATAAAATCTTTAAAATAAAAACAGTTTGGCTATGTATTTTTGAAAAATTATGAAAGTCTCTGTGTGTTTCTAGTTTTCTGAGAGGTTTTTAAAAAGCCAGGGATGCCTGGAGGTCTCAGTTGTTAAGCGTCTGCCTTCAGCTCAGGTCATGATCCGAGGGTCCTGGGATCGAGCCCCGCATCGGACTCCCGGCTCAGTGGGGAGCCTGCTTCTCCCTCTGCCTGCCATTCCCCTTGCTTGTGCTCTCTCTCTGGCAAATAAATAAAATCTTAAAAATAAATCCTGTTAATTTTCATATGAATACTGCTGGTTTCTACAAATTCTGCTATCTTTTATATTTTCATAGTTGTTTAATTCTTGTTTTTTTCTAACAGTCTTGGTTGACTCCTCTTGCGCGGAGTCTGCAGAGCCGTGACAGGTGCAGGCGCCGCGGCGGCTCCGCTGCTGCTCTCGCCCAGCCTCCGCCTCGCTTCTCTCCGCCGGCGCCCACGCGGGCGGCCGCAGCCCCGTCTGCATTCTGTTCCTGGCGTTCTTTCACCGTTTCTTGTCTTGTCTTCTCGTATAGACCATGTCTTGTGCGTCAGTGTTCGGGCTCGTTTTTCTTTGCGTTGTCCACGAATCATAAATCACGCCGAAGCCGGTCGCGCTGCCCCAGCCGCTCTGGATCTGGAGTTTGAATCCAAATGCAGATGGACATCTGCTGTCGTCTTATACATTGTGGCTAGTGTTTCGCGAATTTCTGTCTCAGGTACCGTTGCCTTTCCGGGGTGAAGGACGTCAGGGACCATCTGTTTCTGCTGAAGTCGTTGGTTGGTCATGAACTTCCGCTCCGGATAGTTGCCGCGTCCTTCGTGATGGCCGCCAGGCTTCAAGCGGCCGGGGAGGAAGAAGTTGTTCAATTCGTATACCGGGGAATCTACCCTCATGGCGCGGAGCACACTCGCAGACTTGTACACCCATCGCCACTCTCTAGTTCCAGAACATTCTCATCACCGCAGAAAGAAACCTCGTGTTCGTTAGCAGTCACTCCCCATTCCTCTCCCCAGCTCCCCGCGGTCACCGTCTTCCCTCTGTGTGCACCTGCCTGGTCTGGACTGTCCGTCCGCACGGAGCGCACCGCGCCTGGCCTGACGCGGCCGGCCTCTCGCACTTCGCATGACGAAGGGTTTCAGGGTTCGTCCCTGTCGCCGTGTCAGGATTTCCGTCCTTTTATGCCTGGATTGCATTCTGTCGTGTGGCTCTCCCTCCCCATTTCGTTGCGGCTGCGCTGACCGGCACGCGGCGGGGCTCTTCTCCCGGGACCGGGAGTCAGGAACGGTGCCGGGAAGCGCGCGCCGCGCAGGTGTGCTCCGCTCTGCTGGGGAGGCCCCTGCCGTGGCGGCTCGCTCGTCACTCCGGTTTCACGGTCTGGGGACCGTCCTCCGGCGCGGCTGTGCTGTTCTGCGTTTCCACCGGCTCGGTTTGCCCACACCCTCTCCGCGCTCCTCACGGGCGGTCTGTCTGCTGGTGGCCCGCGGCTGCGCGCCCAGTGGCGTCTCACGTGCCGCAGGTCCGCGCTTTCCTCCGGACTCCCGGGCCTAGCCCGTCCACACGCTTCTTTACGCTGCCGTGTCTTCTTTGGAGAACTGCTGATTCAAATGTTTCGCCCATTATTTATTTATTTTTTTTACATATAGAAATGTTTTTCATTTAGGGGCACCTGGGTCGCTCAGTGGGTTAAGCCTCTGCCTTTGGCTCAGGTCATGATCTCAGGGTCCTGGGATCGAGCCCTGCATCAGGCTCTGCTCGCCGGGGAGCCTGCTTCCCTTCCTCTCTCTCTCTGCCTGCCTCTCTGCCTGCTTGTGATCTCTGTCAAATAAATAAATAAAATATTTAATAAATAAATGAATAAGATATTTATCATAGGAACATGTTTAGTGGAAAATAATTGAAAATCACCTAAAATGTCCAACATTTGAAGAATGGGAGTTACACAAGTATAGTAGCTCAGACTAAGAAAGTACTCTCCTGGTATTTAAAATTCCAGGGGAGCCTGGGTGGCTCAATGGGTTGGGGCCTCTGCCTTTGGCTCGGGTAATGATCCCAGGGTACTGGGATCAAGCCCCGCATGGGGCTCTCTGCTCAGCAGGGAGCCTGCTTCCTTCTCTCTCTCTGCCTGCCTCTCTGCCTATTTGTGATCTCTGTCAAATAAATATAATCTTTTAAAAAATAATAAAATTCTATTTTGGGGGTGCCTGGGTGACTCTGGATTAAGCATCTGCCTTCAGCCCAGGTCATTATCTCAGGGTCCTGGGATCAAGCCCTGCGTCGGGCTCTCTGCTCAGGGGGAGCCTGCTTCCCCCTCTCCTTCTGCCCCTCCCCCTCCTTGTGCTTTCTCTCTCCCTCTCAAATAAATAAGTAAAATCTTTTAAAAGAATAAAATTCCATTTTGAATAAACTCTGTTCATGGGAAATGATCACATTATGATGTTAAATTTTAAAGCCAGGTTATGGGGGGAAGCACGCAGACCCCACATGAGTATGATCTTTCTCTAGTATTACAGTTGCGGGTGCAGGAGCGCCGGGCGGCTCAGTGGCCGGCAAGTGCACCTCTTGGTCTTGGGGTAGTAGGTTCAGGCCTGTCCGTTGAGTATAGACATTCCTTAAAAAAATGAAATCTTAAAAAAATAACATTGCAGTTGACTAGTTGACGCGTTACATTTTATAATCTTTTACAAATGACCGTTACTAGTTTAGTTTGGGCTTTGTTTTTTTAAGCTGTTCCATTTTTTTTTTTTGGAAGTCTGAGACGATCTGTCTGATCTTGAAAAGCTCCTCCGCCCAGAGTCCGGTGTCTAACTGCCTGGTAGGGGCCACAGCAGCCTGAGGCGGTGCAGACAGAGGCGACTAGGGGGTAGGACACAGGGGAGAGGAGGGACAGGGACACCAGGACTCCCATCTTGCAGTGGTCGGGTGCAGGGTGGTGCCATCATCGGGAGCTGGGGAGGGAAACAGGTGTGGGGTCAGAAAGCTGTTTGGACGGGTTCGGGATTCTCTGCGCCTTCGGTCCCCCCTCCTCGCGCCTGGCCCAGCCCAGGTCAGTATTCTGCCTGCACCCCACTGCCCGGTTCCCAGCCCGCGGAGCAGCACAGCGGAGCCCCTCCTGGTGGGAAGCCGTGCCCCTCCGCCCCCAGGCCTCTCCCCTTCTCCGCAGCAGCTACTGGAGACGCAGGGCTGTGGAGAGACCCCATTCACGCGACTGTACTGCAGTATTGCTGTTATGAGGATGTTTTACAGAACGGTTGTTGTTACATTGTCGTTCACGTCTTACAGCACCTGGTTCATAAATTAAGCTTTATGGTGCTGGGTCCGCACAGGAGAAGCAGCACTGTGGGGTTCGACACTGTCCGGTCTCAGAGTCTTGGCGTGCGTGCGCGTGGGTAAGGGGGCTGCTGTACAGTTACTTTGAGGGATTTTTAAAAATCTTTTTGTTAATGTTTATCAAATCAGAAGAAGTCTTTTTCAGAAAAAGTACTGCAATTTCAGATTCTCACTATTAAGTTTCTGGTAGTTTCCGAAGTTTCCAAGCAGTAAAAGTTTAGGTTGCAAGGGGCCTGTGTCCTCACTTGAGAGAGAGCCAGAGCTCGAGCAGGGAGAGGCGCGGAGGGACGGGAAGAAGACGCCGGGCACCCGGAGATCACGACCCAGTGGGAAGGCCGACCCCTCGCCACCCAGGCACCCCTAATGAAGATGAGTTTTTGTTTTGGTTTTTGTTTTTAAAGATTTTCTTTATTTATTTGAGAGAGAGGCAGTGAGAGAGAGCATGAGCGAGGAGAAGGTCAGAGGGAGAAGCAGACTCCCCATGGAGCTGGGAGCCCGATGCGGGACTCGATCCCGGGACTCCGAGATCATGACCTGAGCCGAAGGCAGTCGTCCAACCAGCTGAGCCACCCAGGCGTCCCTTCAGCCACAGGCGTCCCTGAAGATGAGTTTTTAAAAGCTAACTTTTCGCCGCAGTCGTCATCATGCATCACAGACCCGTGCTGTCCTCAAGGAGCATTTCTTGTTTTGGCTTCCCTCCGCCCTCTCAGGCCTGAGGCTGCCCGCTGAGCCCGCACCGGGAAGGGGCAGCGGGAAGGAGCCACCGACAAGCACCTGCTGGTGAGCGCGGCAGCGGGCGGTGGTGGGCGTGTCAGACCCCCAGCCTCTCGCGGGCTCTGAGTGCCCCATCCCGGGGCTGGGCCGAGGCGCCCTCTGGTGGACGGTCGGTGGAGGGGCGCTCGCGGCGGGGGGTGTTCCCTTAGAGCTGCAGGCCAGCGGGGGTGGGCGGTGGGCAGTGGCGGAGCCATCTGCAAAGCCCTGCACTGACCGACCGTGGGGGCTTGATTCTGGGCTTCGGTATTTTGAGGGTAATTTTTTTAAGTTAAACCTCCGTGATATGGGGCGCTGGGGTGGCTCAGTCTGTCCAGGCCTGCCTTTGGCTCGGGTCATGATCTCGGGTCCTGGGATTGAGCCCCACATTGGGCTCTCTGCTCTGCGGGGAGCCTGCTTCCCCCTCTACCTGCCGTTCCCCTGCTCCTGCACACTCTCTGTCTCAAACAAAATCTTTAAAAAAATAAACTCGTGTGGTAAAGTCAGTTTGAGTTTTTAGTGCAGTTAATGAGATGCTCCTTCATTGAGTTCAGACCATGGGGGGGTCTCAGTTCCCGTGGAGCGCGGGCTGGAGAGCAGGGCGCTCTAGATCTCGGGGTGCTGAGTTCCAGCCCTACATGGGGCAGAGGTTACTTTAAAAACTAACTAAAGGGGCGCCTGGGTGGCTCAGTCATTAAGCGTCTGCCTTCAGCTCGGGTCCTGATCCTGGAGTCCTGGGATCGAGCCCCGCATCGGGCTCCCTGCTCCACGGAAGGCCTGCTTCTCCCTCTCCCACTCCCCCTGCTTCTGTTCCCTCTGTCACTGTCTCTCTGTCAAATAAATAAATAAAATCTTTAAAAAAAAAACTTAAAAGAATATAAGAGAAGAACTAGATTAAAGTCAGTTAATACACTCATTTGTGTTTTGATAATTAGTAAATACATTTCAAACAGTGACTTTGGTGATAAATACAGCCCTCTTTTGGGGGGGCCACAACTTAGCCTTTTCTCTGTCGTGCGGCCAGTGGGATCTTCCTGCCGCTGGGCTGGCCTCGAGCGGGCGTCTGCCACCAGGACGCTGTTAGGGAGCTCTTGCCGTCTGCTGGGAGGCTTCTGGACTCCGGGAAGCCAGCTTACTGTTGGGTACTTCTGTGGGCGCAGTGAGGCCTGCGGTGGAATCAGTGCTCCTGACAGGGCTCGTCTGCGCGCGGGGCCTGTGCTGGGTGCGTCACACACGTGACTCGCAGGAGTTCGGGGAGTGCGGACAGTTACTCCCCCGCCCGGCAGAGCAGAACCCGAGGCTCGGAAAGGTGCGGACGCTGTCCCACGTCACTCACGCGACGAGCGGTAGAGGTAGGGTTTGAACCCAGGCAGGCGGACAGGCGCTGAGCCGCAGAACCAGTGCACGTGGCCACACGCAGCTGATTGGCCCCTCGCGTGCCCTTGGAAGGCCAAGGCCGGGGCACTGTCCCAGCAGGGGCTGAAGGGGGCTTGCAGAGAGGCCCCCCTGGGCTGCTCCTGAGGGGGGACTCCTCTGCCCGATCAGTGCACACCCGCTGGCCCTGGGTGGGGGGTGGGGTGCTGGGCTGCAGCTGCCTCCAGCACAGCTCCGGGCACCCCGGAGATCCAGGGAGGTGACAGTGTAGGGAGCGTGACGGCCCCGAACGCATCCCTTGACCTGCTTTTCTCTGAAAGTATGTTTTTAGGAGTCATAAGGGCATTTAAACTGTTCCTGAGCCTGTCCCTGCTCTCAAGAAAGGAACTCATGGGGTGGGGAGGGGGGTCAGAGGAGGGCAGACAAAGGCACGTGCGTCAGCTAGAGGGTGAGGACGCCCGGGGCACGCGGTGTCCATGGGCCTGACCGTGGCGTGCGCCGCTCTGTGAGGGGCGTCGGCCGCGAGAGCGCCTGCCGCGAGGAGAAGCTGTTCCTCCCCGGTTTTCTGTGTCTCCGCGAGCTGGAGGGTGTTGGCTGCGCTTCTCGTGGTCGTTCTTTCACCGTGTGAGAGTCACAGCGTCGTGCCGTGAGCCTTACACAAGCAGGCGCGGCAGTGACATCGCAGTGTCCAACAAAGCCAGGATCCCTGTCCTCCGTCTCTCCCACGCCGTCCTGCAGTCCTGCCGCCCGCCCTCCGCTCCCCTGCGGCTGGCGGTCACTGTTCCCGGGATCTGCGTGTGGCTTTGCTGTCACTGAGTCCTCGGAGCCCAGCGGGCCACGCAGTGACCCCCACAGCAGCACCGGTGGGCGACGGCCTGTCCCTGGTCCCTGGACCCCACATCCTCACCACCACCACCACGGGATGCCGGAGCGCAGGACAGGGGCCCACTCAGACCCTCTGCCGGCAAGCGGGCCCAGAGGAGGAGCAGGATCTCGTGTCCGAGCCAAGTCTTTCCGAAGCCACAATTACCCAGTTTCAGTTCAGCCCGCTTGGCCGGATGTCCTGCGTCGCCACATTCCTCGTGTAGCCACAGACTGCGTGGCGAGTGGGGCTGGCAGAACACAAGACGCCTGGGCCCCGCCGAGGCTGAAGGGTGCCGCCCTCTGTCCCTGCTCCTGCTCACGGGGGCAGGGTTTAGCCCCCACAGGTGCTGGTGTCCAGCGGGGACCGTCACGACGGAGAGACCGTCCCCTCACGTGGAGCCGCTGGCAGAGGCTTGCAGGCCGCCTTCCAGAAATAAAGGTCTGGCCGCCTGCGTGTGCCAGTTTCCAGGGTGTCCGAGCTCGAGCCGCAGTCGCAGGACGACAGTGGCGCCGCGCATGCGGAGCGTTTCCAGACAGAGGACCGCAGCCACCCGGGGCACCAGGAAGGTGCGGGCCAGGAGGCGGTAGCCTTGCTTCTAATATCATTTGCTGGCAGACGACAGGACTTCGTGTCTGGGGCGGTTGAACAGCAGGCTCACAGGTGTCCTGTGGGCTGGCAGGTGTCCCTTGCAGGCCCCCCGTGCACGCACAGGTGTCACCCTCTCCACAGACATCGTGTAGGCAGGAGCTGGCTGGGAAGGCCGGGAGCCATGAGAGAGGGGGACCAGCAGTGAACCCCAAGCGAGCGGGGGCTAGGCACGGGCTTCCAGGGACCCAACACCCTGTGTGTCCCGCGGCCCCCCAGTCTGGCCACACAGCTGGGGAGCGTCCGATCCCCCGCCGAGCGCAGTGTGGGCTGTTGTGTGCTTGGGGACTCCGGGCTCAGACGCTCCTGCAGGTCACTGCGCTCCCCCCACCCCAGCTTAAAGACCATTCTAAGAGCCTTTGCCTTCAAAGTGCCCCCCACGAGCGGCCATCCCGATGTCCACGTGTGCTCCCGTGGACACCCCAGGAAGGCCGTGCGGCTCCCTCCCCCAAGATCACCCAGTACCTGGTTGGTGGCCAGCACCCTGGCAGACAGTGGACAGGCTGGAGGGAGAAGGGAGAGAGAGAGACGAGAAAGCAGGGAGTGGGGAGGGAAAAGGCAAGAGACTCCGTTGCCTTATTTGAACTTCTTTGTCCAAGAGAGCCAGCCACGGGGAGTGTCCTGGGCACCCTCTGATCCTTCCAGCTACGAGGATGGATCCAGGGACCAGCTTCCAATAGCCGGGACAGAGACCTCCTTTTACAGGGCGCAAACAGGGCGCCCAGGGGCTCCTTCGGTTAAGCGTCTGCCTTCGGTTCAGATCATGATCCCGCCCTGGGATCGAGCCCCGCATCGGGCTCCCTGCTCGGGGCGCATCTCCGTCTCCCTCTGCCTGCCGCTCCCCCAACCCTGGGCTTATGCTCTCTCTCTCTCCCTCAAATAAATAAAATCTTTAAAAAATTTTTTTAAAAAAGGCATGACAGTAAGAGGAATCCATTACCCCACTAACTAGCAGCCCCAAGGTGGGGTGGCTCTGGTTTGGTGTTTTCAGCGCGTGATGATGTCCTCGGACACCCCAGTTCCCCTCTTCCGTTCAGCCTCCTCAGGGCATGAGCTCTGCCCTCAGGCCAAGCTCCCGTGGAGGCCCGGAGCTGGAGCCACTGCCGCCTGCACAGGTTGTCCCCTCCCACAGAAGGGGCTTCCTTCCCATGTGGCTCCTTTACAGAGGAAGGAACCCTCTGCCAGAGGCCACCTGTCCGGCCCTGTCCTGTCCTACTGGAGTGACCAGAGCTTCTCAAGGACTGCAGCCCACCCCCGCAGCAGCACCCCCCGGGGAGCGGGTTGGACACTGGGGGCGGCCGGCACGGAGTCTTAGTTCGCGGTGATTTGAGGCACCGTGGCTGGACGGGGGTGACCCACTTGTAAGGGGAGACCCCAGAGCTTAGTTGGGCTCTGCTGTGGGGCGGTGAGGGCCCTGGGGATCAGATGCGGCTGAGTGGGGCCGGATGACCGCCACAGTATTCCCCCGGGGCCGTGGACTTGACCGGCGGCCCCTGCGGCAGGGAGGCAGGGGTGGCCAGGCTGGGCGCAGGCTGGCCGTGCGCTTGACCCTCTGCCTGCTGTTTGTCCTTCCCGCCAGCTACCAGAGATTCAGCGACTGTTACAGGCGTCTCTGCCAGCTGCAGCCTGACGTGACCCAGCGGATCCACGACAAGTTTGTCGCCCAGCTGCAGGCGTCCATCCGGGTGAGTGGGAAGGAGCCCAGCAGGGCGTGCTGGCCCTCGGGGTTCCCCAGGGCTCAGCGCTGCCCTCTGTGGCTGCGGGCTGCCGTGGCCACTGTCAGTTCTCTGGTGTGGCCCTGCTCTCGTGGACCGGGGCTGGGGCGTGTGCCCGCTGCCCCGCGGGCTCCTGTCCTCCCCGTGTCCCCAGTGTCCGGGACGCAGAGCGACACGGAACTGTGGGCAACCGTGGCGCGGCCTGCTGCGGGGAGTGCGAAAGAGGCCAGGGCTGTGTTCGCGTGTCGGAGTAATCGTGGTCTCTCCAGAGGGCTCCACGCCCATGTGCGTCCGCGGCACCACGCTGGGCCCAGGTGGCGGCACCCCGAGGGGCTGGGCAGGCTCTGCTGTCCGTTTGGTACTTTCTGTCCTTAATTATTATAAGCCACACGGAGAGAAGTTGGAATGTTGGTATGAAGACACAGAAATTAGCCAAAATCTTACCGGTCCTGCGCGTGTGGTCCCCGTGGGCTTGTCCGGCGTCTTAGAGCTGTGGCCCGCCTGCCCTTCAGGAGGAGATCTCTGAGATCAAAGCGGAGGGGAACCTGGAGGCGGTCTTGGACGCCTTGGACAGGATCGTGGAAGAAGGCAAAGACCGCACAGAGCCGGCCTGGTGAGAAGCGTGGCCCCCCGGGAAGGCGAGCCCTGGAGCCAGCGGGTGCTGTTGGGGGCTCACGGCCCACGGGGGGCTGTCCTTCCGGGGGGGCTCATCTCGGGACCCACCTGGCGGTTTTGCAGTGCCTGTCTGGCCGGGTTTTAGTCACTTGTCCGTTTCACAGTATTTAGGGGACCCCTACCATGCGCCCCCAAAGCTGACCTTCCCGTGGCTCGGGGCGCCCCACACAGGATGGGGGGATCCTGAGCTCCTGCCTTCCCCGACACCCCCTGCCTGAATTTAGGCCAGAGGCAGGAAACACCTTTCTCAAACCTTCCAGTTTTTTATGCTTTATGACCTTAACACACAAGAGAATTGGGTTTTAGAGCTAAAAACGATTTTCTTTTCAAGATTTTATTTATTTGACACACAGAGATCACAAGCAGGCAGAGAGGCAGGCAGCGAGAGAGGAGGAGGCAGGCTCCCCGCAGAGCAGAGAGCCCGATGCGGGGCTCGATCCCAGGACCCTGAGATCATGACCTGAGCTGAAGGCAGAGGCTTTAACCCACTGAGCCACCCAGGCGCCCAGAAAATCGAATTTTTTAAAGAACCTCTGGTGGCTTCCACCCCCCTGCCCCTCTGAACCAGCCCGTCCTCACTCGGGGCGTTCGGGACCCGCACTCTCACCTCCAGACCCGCCTGCCGTAGCTTCCCAGGCGGCCGGCACCGGCTGGGCCTCTCAGGGCGGCCCCACTCGCTGAGGAGCGGGGGTGCAGGGTCCCACGGGCAGAGGCTGTGGCTGGATGGTGGCCTCCTGCCCTGCAGCGTTGGACGTGGGCGGGGTCGCCTGTGGCTGGCGGCCGGGGAGAGCGGGGAGAGGGGTCCCCGGGCGCCCGAGCTGAGAGCCGGCGGGTAAGCGCACCAGTGGGGGCCGGCCCGGCCCGCTTGAGGCTCACCCACACCCCTGCTCTCCCCGCCCCCGCCCCCCAGGCGCCCCAGCGGGATCCCCGAGGCAGACGTGCGCAGCGCTGCTGTGCCCTACTTCCTGCAGCAGCGGGACGCGCTGCAGCGCCGGGTGCACCGGCAGGAGGCGGAGAACCGGCGGCTGGCGGAGGCCGTGCTGGCCGGGCGGCGGCAGCTGGAGCAGCTAGAGCAGCGGGCCCGGGCCCGGCAGAAGGCCTGGCAGGTGGGTGTCCCAGGTCGTGTCCCCTGCCGTGGGGCCTGATGGCAGGTGGCAGCCCGAAGGACGGGCTCCTCCTGTTAGGCTCAGTGGCCTGTGGCCGTGGGGTTCTCCACGAGACCCCCCAGGAGCTTTGAAGCGTGTGCATTTGGGGGTGCCCGGGGGCGCAGTCTGTCGAGCGTCCGAGCCCGTTTCAGCTCAGGCGGCGCTCTCGGGGTCGTGGGACTGAGCCCCAGCGCGGCTCTGCAGTCAGCAGGGAGTCTGCTCGGGATTCCCTCTCCCCCTCTCTCCCTCCCTCACTCCCAAAGCGGCTCCAGTCCAGGGCTGTGGGCACCACTGCTGGGCTCGCTCCGTCATCCAGACGCGCAGCCGGTCTTTACTCGCAACCACTGCGGGTTCCCGGGGCAGGCCTTCCTGTTCATTCCTCGCGACAGTGGGTCCCCACATCCCAGCCTTGGAGAGCTGGCAGCAGGAGCGGGGCCGGTGGCCTGCTCGCTTCCCTCTTGCTCGCACCCTCCCTGGCTCTGGGGCACCGGGCAGCAGGTACCCACAGGGTCCTGACCCGGGCCTTCTTGGGGGCACCCTGCTGAGTCGTCAGGCAGTGTGCTCCCCGCTGCTGCCACTCTGTCCCCACGAGGCCAGGGCTCACCCTCCTGTCTGGACCCCGACTTCCAAACCGGCCAGCCCTGACGTTCAGAGCTTCTGTGTTCATGACGGGGCACACGGAGCGGGGTGCACAGCCCCTGCTCAGAGCCACAGCAGCCCCAACACAGCCGGAGAGCCTCACCGTGTGGGAGGTGGGTGCCCGGCAAGCTGGGTGCGCGACTCCGTGTGGCACCTGCAGGGCTGTCCATGGCCCAGCCCATGGCCCAGCTGCGACCCTGCTAGTGTCAGGGGACACTCGGGGGCCCTTATTCAGGCTGGGCGCTGCTCTGGGGAGGCCCAGCCTCGGTGGCCACAACCGCCAGCCGGCCTCAAACGCTAGCTGAGTAGGGGACACCTTCCACAGAGGCCTTTGCCTGCCCCTCCCTTGCTGGGCCTGTGACCTGAGCCGAGACACCTTCCGTGTCGTTGGGGGAAAGAGGCCTGGGGTCAGGCTGAGTGGAGGGGAAGGTTTACGGTTTCTTCTGTGCTGTGTGTCCCCTCCTGCTGCTGCCAGGCCCTGCACAGAGAACAGAAGGAGCTGCTGGGCGTGCTGGGGGAGCCCGAGTGAGGAGGCGGCCGCCGGACCAGGAGCAGAGGGCAGTCGAGGTCAAGGGCCTGGGCCAGCTGCCCCTGAGAACCAGTGAAGTGGTGGCCAGTCCCTGAGTGTGGATGGAATTAGCCGGAGGATGAGGCCTGACCAGCCCTTCTGCTTTAGGAGCTCCCTTGGGGTCACACACAGACACACGCATACACACCCCCCCTTCAGACCCTTCCCTGTGTCTGGACGCGAGGGCTGTCGGGCAGCTCCCACGCCGGGAATCAGGCCCCAGGCTCTCTGTCCCGCAGGTCGGGGCCAGCCGCCTGCCCGCCCGTTCCTGAGCGCCCCCGGACCTGGCCCGGGGCATCTGTGTTCAGGCCGCCCTGATTGTCCCCTTGCCGGCCAGCCCCAGGGCCCTTGCCATGTTCTCCCCACATCCGTAAATAAACCTCCTCCACTTGCTACACTGTAATCTGCGAGGACGCTTCCTCCCCGGGCCTCTCCCAGTCTCTCCGGGCCGAGGCCCCCGCGCTGCTCTGAGAGCCTCCAGGCCGGGCGGGCTGGTGGGGGCGCCGCTGACCACCGCCGTGACCACTGCATGCTGTCCCGTGCAGGGAGGGCAGCAAAGCCCCTCGACCCGGAGACCGGGACCCCTGAGTCCAACCCTTGTCTGCCACTCGGGTTCACTGTGAGGGAGGCCCCAGGCAGGCCCCCCTCCGTCTCGCACGTGGTGGGTGAGTGTGCACTCGCGTGCACACGCGCCGACGGGCCTGTCTTCTGACCGGCGGGTGAAGTGGATGGGTGCACGTGGGGCCCAGAAAAAGCCCGCCCAGGAGGCTTGGCTGCGGGCACTGGAGACACACAGGCAGATATCGAGGGACCCTTGCTGGCTGCCCCGAGCCCAGCAGGCCTGCGGCGTTCACACGGGAGACCCGCTCCTGCCCAGCTGCAGGCCGCAGGGTAGGCAGCGAGGCGGCATGAGGACACCCTTTCCCCATCCTCTCCAGGCTGGGCTGGGGGAACGTGGCCCTCAAGGGTGCTGGGGTGGGGTTTTGCAGGCTGGACGTCTGTCTCGGAAGCCCGGTCCCAGTCGTTAACCTCGGGGAGGCTGCCAGGCAGCCAGAGGACCGGAGGAGCCTCCATCTCACAGGCCCTGTCTGTCCCCCTGCGCGGGGCTCCGGCGAGGGTCCCCACCACCCCTACACCAGGCCTGCCACTGACGTCCCTGCAGGGATGGGCGCCTCCGCCCTGCCTCTGGGTGAACGAGGGCATCGCTGCCTCGGGCTCCCCCTCCCTGGGGTTTGGCTCCTGCCCTTGGCCGGCAGTGCAAATCACAGGCTTCCAGAGGCAGCCCGGCTCTCCCGGAGCCTGTTTTAGACCTGGAGCCCCCCTCTCCCCCCGCAACCCTGGCCTGGCCCACTGGTGCTCAAACTGAGGCTGGAGCGGGGGGACTTGGGGTGCGCCCCCTGGGGAGGGGCCGGGCCTGCCCAGGCAGCTCCAGTTCCAACCACAACATCCTTCGGGGTCTGGCCTTTAGAGCTGGGGCAGATGACTCCCACACGGCCCTGGCACAGTCCCCCGGGACCCGCCCCCACCACAGGGGGCGCCCCCCTCGCCTGCGGGGCTCAACCGGGAGTATAAGTGGCGCCGGCGCTGGCCGCAGCGAGAGACCAACTGAGGCCCAGCAGCCCCGGCAGCCGCTCACGGACACAGACAGGACAGACGCACCATGAGGCCCGTGACAGTCCTCACCCTGCTGGCCCTGGCTGTGCTCTGCCTGGCGGGCCCGGCCGGTGAGTGGCCCGCCTGCCCGGCCTCCCCTCCCCTGCCTGCTGCTCGCCCAGCCGCCCTCCCTCCTATGGGCTCTGTCCTGGGGGTGGGGGCGGGACGAGCGGGGCTGAACCAGACTCTCTCCTCGGCAGATGCGAAACCCAGTGGTGCAGAGTCCCGCAGAGGAGCAGGTATGAGGCAGGGCGCGTGGGGGGGTGCGCGTGTCACCCCGCAGGCCCGGAGCCCCCTGACGCCCGCCTCTGTGCCCCACAGCCTTCGTGGCCAAGCGGGAGGGCAGCGAGGTGGTGAGGAGGCTCCGGCGCTACCTGGACCCCGGGCTGGGGTGAGTGCTGTCCGGGGCCCCGTGGCTCCGGACCGGGCCTGGGGATGCGCGGGGAGCCCTGGGGCCGTGGGCGCTGTTCCTGGAGGCTGATGCCCCTCTCTCGGCGCGTCAGAGCCCCAGCCCCCTACCCGGACCCCCTGGAGCCCAGGAGGGAAGTCTGCGAGCTCAACCCCGACTGCGACGAGCTGGCTGACCACATCGGCTTCCAGGACGCTTACCGGCGCTTCTACGGCACGGCCTAGAGCGGGCGCCCTGATGGCCCTGGCCCGGCTGGCAGCCCTCCCCGCACCCCCAGCCCCGCACCCGGCCTCTCCCCCCGCCCCCCACCCCGCAAGGGTGGGGTCCCCATCATCCCGCTGCTCCAGAATAAACTCGGGAAGAGGAACTGGGGCCGTGATTCTTTGTCCGTCTGTGGGGTTTTGGGGGGCGGTGTGGAGGGGGTGGGGAGGCGGGCCTCCAGTCTCAGTGCTCCCCCAGATCTGCCGTTGGCTGCTTTATTTGGAAGCATCGAAGGGAGCTTTCTAAAGGTCTAATTATTAGGGTCCCCCCTCTAGCCCAGCACCCCTCCCCCCACCCAGCCCACCTCACCACCCAGGACACCCACACAGACCCGAAGGGCAGAGAGCCGCCTGGTGGGGGGAGGCAGGGCGGCGGTGGGTCTCCAGGCCGAGCGCGCGGGGTCGGGGGTCTAGGTTAGTCCTGTTAGTGCTTCCCTGGGCTTGGCAGAGACTCGCAGCCAGAAACGGGACCAGGTATCAGGGCCTCAGCACCTCCCCGTCCCCAGCCTTCAGCGGCAGCCTGGCACTCGCGCTGCCCCTCTCCGACCCTCAGCACTTACCCGGCCCGCTGAGCACACCCTCGCTGCCCCTCTTGCTCGCCGCCCGCAGCGCCCTGGCCCCTTCCTCCCCTCCGCCCTCTCCCCTCCGCCCTCTCTCCAAAGCCACTCTGGGCTCCAGGCTTCCATGTGCCCCACCCGTCAGGCCCGAGTCTGGGCTCCTCCCCGGCACCGGCACCGAGGCCTGGCTTCTGCCTTCCCCCAGGGCAGGCTCAGAGATGGGGGCCTCACTGCTGTCTGGCCTTCATACCCCCCTCCAGGGGGCCGCCCTGCACCAGGGGGCAGGTGCTGGGGGCCCGAAACAGGGAGCTTGTGAAGGCAGCAATGATGAGCAGGTTCCCGGCCACCGCCAGGCCCAGCGCGGCCACGGTGCCTGCCAGGCCCACGGGGGGCTCCTGCGTGGCCAGCCAGGCTCGGCGAGATCCCATGTCAGCCAGCACCGCCTCCAGCTGGAAGTGCGTGCCCAGCACGGCACAGATGTGGAACAGCTGGTGGCTGTGGCCTGTGGGGGGCGGGCGGCTCAGGGCGCATACCCCGTTCCCAGGGCCAGCCTGACTACCTCCTCCTCTGGGCGGGCTGCTCCTCTAAACGGGGAGTAAGAAAACCTAGAAGGCCCCCGGTACCCGTGCTGCTGGTTCCGCTGTCGTGTGGGGAGGGCGCGCCTGGACCCTGGGTGCTCTCGTACCCCGTTCCTCGGCTCGCTCTGTGCTCTGGGACGCTGTCCCCCTCACCCCTTCCTGGATGGGCGCCACTCTTGAGCTCTCACCAATGTAGTCAAAGCGTCCCGGGGCCAGCCGCTCGGGCAGGTGGGAGGCGAAGAGGAAGCCAGTGAGCAGGGCGCACAGCAGGTGGTAGCCGTGGCTGGCGCTCAGCGCGTCCTGTCCGCAGCTGGGGCCCCTGTCCCAGCACAGTCCGAGCTGGCGGAGGACAAGCGTTGCTGCCGGGAGGGCCTTCGGGAGTGAGGGTCTGGGGAGCGGGGAGGGCAGGAGCCCTGGGCTCCCTTACCCGGTAGAAGAGAGGGAGGTTGTCAAACAGGAAGGGATAGGCGAAGGCGGCCGTGCGGAGGACCTTACTGAGCCCAGGGCTCTCCAGCTCGGGGAACCTGAGGGAGGGAAAGGCTAGTTACCACCCTTGCTCGCGGGTGGTCACTGAAGGTCAGGGGTCCTTTGGCCAAGATGGACTGTCACTAGCTTAGTGGCCGTGAAAGCCCTTAGGGCCTGGGAGCCTCTGGAAGTGACCACATCCGTGAAGGCGGTAGACACCCGCCCGCCAGCCGCTCTAGGGTGGCCGTGAGAATTCAAGGAGAGGGCGCAGGTTCGGTGCTGGGGCGCTGGAGCGACACCCGGGGAGTCCTCAGTAAGCCGGGCCACTGTTACTCATGTCGGTCAAGAGCCCCAGGCGCAGGTACGCCATCGCTGGCCTCCAGTGTGACTCGGGCCTCCAGCTGTGTCCTGTCCCTCCGCCTTCCCCTTCCGCACTGGCGGGAAACCCACCGGGAGTAGCAGGAGAGGCCGGTGCACAGGAAGGAATTGAGTGCGGCGGCAGGCACGAAGAGCCGGTGCAGGCGGCTGTGCAGCCAGGAGGCCGGCATGGAGTAGGCGGCATAGGGGAAAGCACAGCCTGGGGGAGGAAGGGGGCGGGGCTGGAGCTGAGGTCTCAAGGGCGCGCCCGCCCCACTCCGGAGTGCCCGCGCCCGGCCCCGCCCCTAGAGCACCGGGGCCGCTCCCGGAGCGCTCCGGCCCCGCCCCCAGAGCGTCCCGGGCCCCGCCCCCGGAGCGCTCCCGCCCCGGCCCCGCGGGGCTCACCCAGGCTGTAGAGGCTGAGCGCGCCGTAGTCCAGGAAGTAGCAGATGTGGCGCGCGCGGGGCGACATGGAGCTGAAGGTGTGCGCGCAGCACGACGCGAAGGGGTAGAGGCAGGCGGGCAGCAGGAAGACGAGCAGCGGCCGGTGGTACGGCTCCGCCCGGAAGCCCGGAGCCCCCGCCAGCGCCAGCAGGCGCCACACGAAGTACCTGCGGCGGGCAGGTGCTCAGGCCCGCCGCCCACCCGCCGCGCTCGCGGGCCCGACGGCCCCTGCCCCCCCCCGGGACCCCGTCGGGGCGCCGCTCACCAGGTGGGCAGGAAGTGAGTCCAGATGTTGGCCGTCTCGTTGGTCATCTGGAAGGAGCTGAGGACGCAGTCCCGGGCCGAGCTGCTGGGGCGGCGATAGCCAGACAAGATGCCGTCCTCCCAGAACACCTGTGCGGGGGCAGGTGGGGTACAAGGTCGGGGGGCGCCACTGGGCCCGCCCCGTTCTCTCCGCGAGAGACCTCCGCAAGCGGCGTCGAAGAGAGTGGGCTGGAGGTCACGCCCGCCCCAAAGCCAAGCCAACTCAGAGCCGCGCCTTACCGCGGGTCCCAAATACCCAGAGAGCCAAGGAGAAAGCGAGGAGGCAGTGGGAAGGGGACCAGAGGGGAGGGGTGAGGTGGGGCCGGGGGGAAGAAGGGACTCTGGGTGGACGAGCATCCTTCTCCTGTGGGGGGGAGCCCCCCACACCCACGCCCAGCCGCTCAGAGGGGGAAGCCCGGGGACGGGGAGCTGGCGGGTCAAGCCCCTCACCCGAGGGACCTGGTGGACTCGGAGGAGCTGGGGCAGCTTGAGACTGAGCATGGTGGCCGGGCACCTCCACGCCGTGACCTAGAGACAAAGCGCGGGGTGAGGGCATCAGGTGTCTGCCCCCACCCTCGGGCCCCTTCTCACCCCAGGCAGGCCGGGCCTGGCCACCGGGAGCCGGAGTGCGCTGTGCCCGCAGGTGCGCGCGTGACCCCCGTCCCCGCCTGGGGCGTTCAGTTCCCGAGTGAGAGGGGCTGCTCAGTTTCAGCCCGGGACAGTGCAGGGCGCTCCCCTGCGCGAAGGCAGCCCGGGTTAGTAGTCCCAAACCCCGGACCCGGGTCCCCAGCCCCCAGTTTCCATCTCTGGGGAAGCCTGAGTCAGGGAGGTCAGTGCAGAGAGCATCCGCGCACCCCCGCCCCGCCCCAGAACGCCCCCTGGCCGGCGGAGCCGGGCGAGCACAGAAACTGACGGCGCTCGCCCACGGCTCGGGGAGAGGCCGGATGGCCGCAGGAGTCGCAACGAATCAGGGCGAGCCTGGATCTTCTCTAAAGACTACACATGTGCCCCGGGGGTCCCCGACCCTCCTGAGCCCCGTACCCCTCAGCTCCAGACCTGTGCTCTGCCTCCGGGTGGCTGCGGCTCCGCGGCCCCTCCTGCCTCGCCCAGGCACATTCCTTGGCACCACTGGAGGGGCTGGGCCAGCCGGCGGGTGGAGCTGCCCCGGGGGAGGGAGAGGAGGACCCTCCCCCTCCCCCCCCTTCCCCCGCCAAAACAGCGCGGCAACAATACAGCCCTGCCCCGCCCCTCTTCCTGCCTCCCGGGGCGGCGGTCTGGGTGTGCGCCGCTGCCTCCGGACCTCACCGCCAGCCGGTCCCGGGGCCTCTGCTCCTGCCGGGCCCTCTGCCTCTGACCTGGGTGCTGGGGACCCTGCTGGGCAGAGGCAGACCCGGTCTCTAGTCCCTGTGGCCCGGCTTTTAGATGAGGCCTCCCGGGTCCCGTAGCCCCTCCCAGGAGTGGGATGGGGGTGATCCGACCCATCCTGCGAGCTGCCCACCTCCCTGGGGGACGGGTTGGGGTGGAGATGCTGGGGCCTAGCTCCCTTGGGGTCCCTTCCCTTAGCGGTAGGGTTTGGGGTCTCTGGAGGGCTGTGTGCTGTAGCCATTGAAACAGAGGAGGGGTCTGGAGCAAGCGCTTCTCCTCTGGTCCCCCAGAACGGGTGTCACGTCCCAGGTGAGCTTCCTTACCCAGAGCGTGGCCGGCGCTCCCCACCCGGTGGGTCAGCAGGCCCGGGGCTCCTCGGGCAGAGTCCCAGGCTCCTGCCAGCCAAGCTGACAGGAGGGAGAGAGCGGCAGGCAGGCGGGCCAGGCCTGGGCGGGGAGTGAGACAAAGGGGAGCCAGGGAACAATCCCAGCCTTGTCCAGCCCCCAGGGAGCAGCACGGGGTGGACCAGCCCCATTAGCAGGCAGCTCACTCGGCCTCCTGCACACAGCCAGCCCCTCCAGCTTGACCCAAGCCCACGGACATCAGATTGGCCACACCAGGCTAGAGCCAGCCTGGACCTGGCCAGGGCGACATGGCGCCCTCCTCAGACCAGGGGGCGCGCCAGGGGTCCAGGTTCTGCCATGAGCAGGGCGGTGGGGGCAGGGGGGCGCCTGGGCTCAGGAACCCAAATCCTGACTTGTGACCTCAGAAAGCACCTCTCGCTGAGCTGCGGTGCTGGGCAGAGTCCAGAGCAAACGCCTCCAGGAAATGGGGCTGAACCACAAGGGAACCGCCATGCCGGTTTATCCCCAGACACACCAGACGCGCCAGTCCTTGCCGGGGGCCAAGGGCTGAGGCCCCAGAGGCTGGTCTCCGGGCCCC